GAAGAAGAAGTCCCTGCATGATTTAATTCCATATTTTGTTTTTACACGTTTTCAGAGTGTTTTGATAGTTTGTAATTCAGTGCCATTTGCAGCTTTCTTAGTACTGTGTAATTTGTGGTCTACTAAAAATTGTGTACACATATATATTCATTGCTAAAAAGATGCCAGTAAAAATAAATTATTATATCAAGCAACTCATTTTAAATCCCTAAGAAAAATCATACATACAGATTAGTTAAATACAAAAATATAGAATTGTAATTATTAATTCACATTCTTTAAACTTTATAGGAATATCACATGCACAGATAAAACTATTTTAATAGATAGCATACTGCATACCTATTTTCAGATATACAAATATATAATCACTACAACTATATATATATAATATATAAACAACTACAAATATTGTAATTATGTGTGCCTACCAATTAATACAAATAAATATCTTTACAATGCAATTTAAATATTCTGTTGTATATTATCAAGACTTAAATTTTTACTTAATCATATTAGCCATATGTTTTGTTTTATTATTATTTTAATTAGATAATGAATTACCTACGGGATTATTGATAAGCATTGATCTTCAACAAATATATCCAATAAAAGGAGCAACATTATTGGGTAATTCGGATTTCACTTGTCCTAAAACTTGGCAAAAAATAAAAGAACATTTAAATGGTCAATCTATAGATGTTGTCTTAAGTGATATGGCACCTAATGCTACAGGGGTTAAACATTTAGACCATGATTTAATCATAAGACTTGCGTATTCAGTAATTAAGTAAGTTTTTTATTTTTTAAATGATAATGTTTAAGTATAAAATAACTTATACTACCTATTATTATGTTGACAGATTTGCTATTTTAAATTCAAATGTCGGTGCAACATGTTTAATTAAAATTTTAGATGGAAATCAAAATTCAGATATCGAAAAGGCTTTGAAAAAATTTTATTTAAATGTAAAGTTTGTAAAACCTGAATCGAGTAGAACCGATTCTTCTGAAAAATATCTCCTTGCTCGTGGATTTAAGGGAATTAAACAGAATTGATATATAATGTGATTTTTATTTTTTAATATTATAGGTAAATGATGTTATAGTTTTGTGTAAGTTTAAATAAATATTTTACAATATTACAGTATTTTCAATATAATTGACAATTAAAATATTTGTATGGAAACATATACATATTAGATTTTAAGAGAAGCGAGAGCTCTATTAGTTTACTATGATGTGTGTTTTTGTATTATTATTATTTGTTTTTTTTCTTGTATCAATGGCCAACTTTTCTACCAGAAATCATGCTTCACCTTCATATAGAACACCTTTTCTAAAAGGTAATTTTGTCTGTTTGGTGCATTGGGGATGTCATTTTTTGATATCCTAAGTAGTTGACATAATAACTGAGAAAAACTAAAAGATTGATTAATATTTACAATGTGAGGTCCCAGTTTAATTATTTAAATTTTTTTAAACTATCTGTTTAACAGAAATCTCGCTCCAGTTGAAAAATGACAATGGGGGTAATTTTTCTAAAAAGAAATTCACTGAGAAGGTACTCTTTATAAAGGTCATTTTTCGATTTACAGGAGTTTATTCAGCAAATGTGAAAAACTGGGAAAAACATAGGAAAACCAGGGAAATCGGTACAACATTAAACAAATATTATTAATTAAATAATTTGTATTATTTTAAATTTTGTTTTTTTATTGTAATTCAGTTGAAAATATTTGTAGAATCTTGAAATTTTAATTTGATTTTTCTAAATGCAGTAAAATTGTCGTAATTTTTGATACTTTAATTTCACAAAATTTTTATTTGATAGATACTCTGATAAAAAAATTGTAAGACAACGGCAATTGTTTAAAATTTGACACGAGGTTTATTAAATTGTACTTAGTGTTCAACAATAAAAAGTTAAGCTTCTAATCGTTTTTGTTACCAATGGTTTATTGTTGGTTACAGGTATAAATTAAATAACTATGTATACCATTTCCCCAATTCCCTATCTATAACAGTGGCCGCATCAGCCCCAAGCGTGTCCTTGAGGGCGTGCGATAAAGGTGACTCCCCCCTCCCGAGTGAAATGGACTTACATTGGCATTATGATTAGTCCAGAAGAACATATAATAGATTTCTATCAAACAATATATTTATTGTTTACGAGCGAAGTATGTCAGTCTTTCTATTTATACCTACTGTGACAATAATTTCTACTAAAAATTTTGCCCCTATATGTATATGTGGCACCATTTCTGAAAAAGGAAATATTGTCTAGATGATACTTTAGGTCATTTTTTGATTTCCAAGAGTTTTCATAATATTTTAAGAGAAAACTTAAGAAAAACGGGAAATTTAAGAAAACAATGATTTTTATTATTTTCAATTGTATTATTTGTTGTAATTAATTTTAAAAAATTTGTGGACTTGAAATTTGGACAGAAAACTTATCTTTGTCTATTTTTAAGTGATAAAACTCAAAACATTTAATCCATTGATAGACATTTTAATTTGTGAGTAATTTTTATTTAGTAGGTACTCTGTGGATAAAATTGTTAGGCAAACAAAAATGCTTGAAAATTGAACAGGAAGTTAATAATAAGTCGTACTTTGTGGTCAAAACAAAAATTTTTTTATAAGAATTTTAAAATCAAATTTTGACGAAAATTATTTTATTAAAAACTTATATAGAACAATATTCTAGTTACTGGTTCATACAAATTGTTTCAATATTATGTTTATTATACAGTAATATGACAAATAAGTATATTGCTAAAAAGTAATACTATAAATCGAACTCCGCTCATAATCGTTTTTCTTTGATCCTGATTTTTAAATCAGTAATTTAACTTTCTTCTTTGTTGTTAAATTTAAATGTTAGTATTGAGTTCTTACTGACAATTAATTAGGTACCTACTATACCTACCTATAATCACCAAATCTAAAACTACTTATACCAACTACCTAGCTACTGTAAAGGTTGCTATAGTTTCATGAATTAATAGATCCATATTAATTTATACATACCTATATATATATATTTGATCTTGTATAATAGGTTTCTATGTAGTTACTGTTTTGTTTACACACTGCGATTTATACCTATAAGATTATTATTGATAAATAAATATATTGAGACTAAAAAAGAAAAAATAATTTTCATCATGTCTTTTGTAAATTATACTTTTTACCACCTTAAAAATAAAGAACCAGTTGGATTGAATAGTAAGATCGTTCAAGAACATCTACTTAAATCGTAAGTAAAAATATATTGTAGATAGGTATCATATTGTATCAATAGGTTTTTAATATTTATGATTGACAACCATCAGAATTTGATTTATTAAGTAATTTTTTTTTTGCAACCATAAAATTATTGAACATATATCTTCTATCTGTATTAATATAAAATGAAGCTATCAACAGACAAATATAACAGTTTATACAGTGTCTTATAGTGGTAAACTTATGCTAATAACTATCAATATTTTTTTTTCAATCAGAATTTGTGCGAGAGGGATATATATATTCTCCACTATGTAGAGAAAAATTTAATTTTTATTTTCATCCCTTCATCACTGAAAAAAATAACTTATTTTTCCGAATGGCCATTATTCTGAAAATATTCATATTCTATTAAGTTTTTTAGTCATAGCCATTATTCTAGGTATAGCAAAAAGCTGTGAAACTGTTATCATTTGGCTATTACAAGCAAAGAATTACTATTTTAAAAAGTAAACTGCTAGACAATAATGATTAATTGTGATAGGGACAGTGGTGGAAACATGGATTTTTTTTTTAATATTATGCACGAGCAAAGATGTGAGGGATAACTAATTATAAATAAAATAATTATTTACCATGGATATGGATATGGTTTTTTTCTATATATATGAATTTTAATATTAAATATATTCTCATAAAACAATTTATTTTTAGAACTCGTTTATTATATGAACCATTTTATATGGTGTTTTGGTCTGCTTTGGCTATCTACAGGTTCTTACACCAATTGCAATGGATTAAGAGCAAGACAAATTTGAATGTGGTTAGCTTTAATATTAAAGCAAATTGACCAAATTTAAAGACAAGAGTATTATTAGTCCCCTAGCATTGTTGTTTTAATTTTTAAGCAAAAACGAAGTATGAAATATCATAATTTAATAATTATTAAATTTTGCTTAAAAATTAAAGTACCAAAAAGGGGTACAGATTATATTCTAAATTTGGTAATGGATAAATTCACTTTAGTATTAAAACTAATGTTACAAAATTTGACCTACTAAACACAAATTTGCTATATTATATATTATATTATATTATATTAATATTTGTTGTAAGTTGTTAAGGAGATAATAGATGCTGGTGTGGCGTCCTCATAACTGTATTCAAGAGAAATTGTAGTGCAGCTACATCCCTATAGGTAGTAACTACTACAGTGTATAATATATATATATATATACTGTGTATTGTAAAAGATTTTTTTCCATTTTAAATTGTGTTTGGCTAACAATATATGCAATATAAATAGTATCTGTATTTTGTTAAAGGTCAATGAAAAAATGTGTACACATAAACTATTATGCATTTAATCAAGAGTTTGTACAAGATGACATTAAACAGTTTGCATTGGTTTGATATAATATTTTTCAAAAATAAATACCTATATTTCAAATTTATAAACATATTAACTTTTGAATGTTTAAAGGATTTCTTTCGAGATTACAATGTTGCAATAACCTTACAAACAAGTTCAAGTGGATTTGTTGGTAAGTATTTATTTAAATCTATATTTTAATCTAACCGGCAATCTACAAAATGGTGTAATTAACTAAAATTATTATGCAGCATAGGAATGTTTACTTAAATACTAATTGTTTCATTGTACAAAATAATTTTTACCTAGTTAAATTTATATTTTAAATAGGGCAAAATGTATTCAAAGTACTGGTTGAAGAAATTCCATGTACCATCACATCTATGACATTCTTTGATAAACTTTTAGATCCAAATAATAATATCGTATGCAGCACAACTGACAAGGATGGTAACCATACCATACGACAATGTATGGAAGTGTACAAAAATGGCTTATACATGAATAATAATTTGAAAATGGTTAATTCAGTTTTTTATTGCTTATCTGATTATCAGTGGACCATGATTAAAAAATAAAGTTTTTTTTGGTTTTATACTAATAGTTTCACTAAAATATGAAATAAAATATCTAGTATAAAACTCAAAAATAAACTCAAGAGCACTAGACTATTAGTAATATTAGCACTATTACTATTGATTTTTTAATAATATATCAATTTGTTAGGTACATATATATATTAAATATAAAATAATAAAAACAATTAAATGAAAGTATGCTTTTACTTAATATTTCACTTGATATTTAATATCTATAAGTGCAATACTTATGAGCTCTTGTATTTTTTATAATAAACATTTACAAATAACCTAACATACGATTAATTAATATGTTTAGATGTTGTTTGAAGGCGAATGCAGTGAATATTTTTTATATGAAGAAGATGAGCGCGCAGAGTTTGTGTTTAGACTACTCCAACATTTTGTAATTGGTGGGCAATGGTGTCAAGATGACATAGTGATTGAACCATATTTGAATGCAACAAAATATGTTTACAAAGATCTACTCACGTTAGAGAAATACATAATATTAATAAATAACTTATATGTATATTTTAAAAAATGTTTAATCAAATATTAATATTTCAGTGTGGAAAAGTCTACTAGTTCTAAGATACAAATCTCGTCCAAGATTTACAAAGTCACAGCTTTTGACTCGAATGATACTGTTTTATTTCCCAAAGAAAATATAAAATCTGTACCATTTAGTTTTGCTTATATAGCTGTAAATCAAAACACACGGACTGTTGTATTGTTATTTCATAATGTCGGAGATAAAATTTATACTTGAATTATAAATTCACATAATACCAACTTTTACCAATTTGTTTATAATTTGATTTAAATGACTGAGTTTTAAAATTCAAATATTATTTACTTTTTGATAAATGTTCACTAAATACATTGCTTATAATGACTTAATCTGTAGTATTTTCTTAGTATAAACTATTATAACTAAGTCACTATGAATTTTACAAATTTAAAATAAAATATTACTATTACTAATTGTAATTATATTCAATATATAATATGGTAAATCTTATTATATTGTTTTAAAGAATAAATATTATTTCTATTCTTAGATAACTGGTAAGTTGACACTTATATTTAAATATGACTATATCTATATAAATATTAACTGTTTAAGCCAATAGAATTATTCTAATTGATTTCTTAATGTATCCATTATAATAAATTGAATATTAATGATATTACTTAAATGTTTTTTAGTACATAGTTAAAAATACATCAATTAACTATTAATAAACTAATTTTATATTATATAAGTAAAAGTTCTACTATTCGTTAAATTAATTAATTAATTTAAAAATCTACAAAACTACTGTTTTGTATAAAGGTATTACATGTCATTCACAAATTAGACAAGCTATAAAAATTAAATTTTATATTTTTATGAGATAGTACTTAATGCAACTACACCAAAAAGAAAAAAATAACTAAACTTTTTTTACTTTAAAATTTAATAAATATGTAAAAATGAATCGAATCAATAACAAATTGATTCAAGATTTCTTTTTTGTTTAAATAGTGGGAAAAAAAAATTATTTAAAGCAAATGCATACATTTTAAAATACATAATACACAAATGTATAATAAACTTAAGTCAATAGTTTCTAATAAAATAAATAACAGAATACAGAACGTATCAAAAGATCAACTATTATTTTTTACTTAATTGATTTTTCTATCTTTTGTATAATAAAACAAAACATGTATTTTAAACAAGAACTATGTAGTTATACAAATACTTTACTATGATCAATTTTGAGACCAACATTTCATATTCATTTTTATTATATGTATTGAAACATAGCGTAATAACATATTACTGTCTAACTTGTGGCTGATATTGTTGGTGATCCTCGTTATCCACCAAAAAAGTGAGAATAGCAGTGAAAATAAAAATACCAGTCAATATCCCTAATGTACCGGTAGATGTATATGAGAACAATGTGTAAAAGTGAATTCTCGCGTACCAAAGTAAAGATATTATCACTGTTATTAAAGCAGATAATAATGTTGCCAAATTCCATTCGCGTTGAACAGGTCCAGGTTGACGTTGACGATGACGCCGTCGTATTATATTTGGTAATAATGTTGGTGGGTGATCAATAATATCGTCTTCCACAGAGTCATCGGTTTGCTGAGCATTTGTGGTAGGGCGTGGCTGATGTATAAGACAGTGCACAACACAGTTATCATGAAGTCCATAACTACTCAGTGTTGCTTCATCATCATGTAATACTTTTCCTTGAAATATTAAACGAATAATTTTATCTGATGATAACTCATTGCTAAAGTGTCTCCTAAAACAATTATAACATAATTGATTTTAATTTGTGTACATCGTAACAGGTATGAAATAAAATTGATTATATAAAAGGGAAAATTGTTTCATATGTTTATTACATAATAATTTTTAATATACCTTTTGAAAACACCGATATTTTCTTGAAGTCTGCCTTCGACTAAACGACAGTTATCATTTAAATACTTAAGCCGTATTTTGATAGAATCTTCATATACTTGTTGATCGTTTGAAGAATCATTAGTGCTTTGACTTAACTCATTAGACTGCATAGTTGATTCCCTTTCAGCTACATCATTTTCTGTAGAACTAGAATTTTCATTTTTATCTTGAGGATTATCATTGTTTATAGATGAATTTGTTTGAATATCAGCATTTGTAGGAACAATCTCAGTTGGTGGATTTTCACCTAAATAAGTGATAAAATTCAAAAATTTATTACATTTTTACTCAAATGTAGGAAAATATTATTAGTTATTAATAACATTTTTAATTATGTTGACCAATTATTTTATAGCAGAATAGATCATAGCTCTAAGTATAGAATAATATATATATATAAATATACATATTTAATATTAGGACTCTAAACTTATGAGTAATAATAATATCAAAATAATAAGCTTAATAGGTATAAATAATTCAGATTGGTATATGAAATACAACAGGTTGACAGAAATTTAAAATTTCAACAACAAAATGTACATTTAAACTAAAATGTCAACTATTTATAGAATTTACTTTGATGAACTACAAGCTTTAAGATTGTTTTTTAAAATTATAATTGTTAATTATGGAATTGGAAGTGAGCAGTTTTGAGTCAGAAGCAGCGAGCAATTTTTTGACATATTTATTATTACTAAAGTCCCAAGAACTTTATAGTTTGATAACTTGTCATCAGGTTTGCATATGCATGCTGCATAAATTGACATTCCCGATTGCGCTCATGTCGAATAACAAACGTCAATTGTTGTCCACATCTAAATCGCCCAAGCAGAATGACAAAAAATCCAAAATGTTCAGTTCTCCAAACCGCTTCACTGTCCTTTCTGTGAATGTAGACATTGAAGTTATTGCAGATGTTAATGTATTTACTTTGCCAGTTAACAGTATAACAGTAAGGCTGTTGACCGTGAGCAACAACTTCAAGATCAATATTCAAGTGTTCCAGTCCGAGCTCCCCTTCTTTATATCAAAAACATTACTAACTTTTCTTCATTCGAAAAGACTTTACTTAGTCTCTCTGGTATAAATGGTTTCTCCTTTAAAACCACACCATCGTTCCAAGTTGTTTATCTGAATAGTTACCATCATTTTAAATTAATTACTGAACACCTAAATAACAAAGACTCGGAGTTTCATATATTTTATATATATATAGTTTCATATTATATGCTCCAATCACATCTAAACCTATTACAAACATAGTACAAGGAATGGGGTATTAAGATGAATGAATCAAAATCTGCTCACTGCACTTTCACATTAAGACATTCAAACTGCCCGACCATAACTCTCAATAATATACCCATCCCTCCCACACAAAATATTCGCTATCTAGGCCTCCATCTTGACCGTCGACTAACCTAGGCACATCATATCCATACTAAGCGAATTACTCTCAACAACCGATCACGACAGCTGCGACTCCTCCTAACTTCTAAACACGTTAATCTAAAAAATAAAATACTCATTTACAAACTTCTCTTGAAACCTATATGGTCGTGTGGTGTACAACTTTGGGGTTCAGCCAAAATCTCAAATCTAAATAAAATCCAAACGTTCCAATCTAAATGCTTCCATCAAATAACCAAAGCTCCCTATTATATTTCAAATGAAACACTTCATAACGACCTCTCAATTCCAACAGTAAAAGAAGTAGCTAAAATTTCCTACAAATGCTTTCACTCAAATCTATCCAATCACCGCAACCCTCTTGTCTCAAATTTACATACTCATATTATCCCTGGTGATCCAAGAAGACGTTTAAAACGCCAATGGTGCCGGGACCTTATAAATGACTAAAAGCCAACCTCTGCCATGAAGCTCCATCACTGGATGGATTCTTCAATCAAGACTGCAATCCAACCTCTACTTATCTCACTTATACTTATTGTAAAAATATATATATTTACAGATTATATAAATAAATATATGATTCAAAAAAAATAAAAAAAAAAAAATATTATATGCTATGCAAAACGCTGTTTTAGGGTAATTAGAATTTGCACCATTCCACACTCAGCGTCAAAATCACTAATGCATTGAGTGATTTAGGTCACTCAGTCAGACATATTGAAAATATTTAAAAAAACAAATCACCTCTGCTATTTTTTTTGGTGGAACTCGACAAAAATAGCAACAATAAAGATATTTTCAATATTCCTTCACTTCTACATACTGATAAAACAATAAAAAAAAAAAATCATAGGCTGCCTCAGTGTTATAATTTTCATTTACTTGGTCATACCAAAAAGTATTACACTTTCTACTCTGCTGTGTTAAGTGTGGGAAAGATCATTCATCCATGGATTGCACCAAAGACTGCAAGTTCCTGGTCAAATGCTCACTTTGTGCAGGGACCTATACAGCTTCTTATAAAGGATGCCCCAAATAAAAACACCATATAAAGAAGTTACCTCTTCATTCTATCTTAATACCAGCTCCTCCTAATCAGCTTTGTAATCTTGATACTTTCATTCAATGATCATATGCCGAGGTAACACATCACCAACTAACAATCGAACAACCAGAGGATTTAAATAAAATACTCAATGATTAGAAATCTTATATTATCCCACTATTAGCTTTACTGTTGAAAGTCTTGGAAAATGTATATTCAATTTCAACTATAGCCATTCCTTAATTGCATAGTGCCCACATATTATATTTATTTTCTTATCTACTTTCATTATCTAATTTCTCCATTTAATACCCGTTATTGTTATAAATATTAATTTTTAAATTAAAAAAGTTATTTTTTTATCAGATTTAATTAAGACTAATGGCTGCAAAACAAACTTCTTCCATTTCCAGATATAATAAAATTATTCTACTTAACATAATAATTGGATTTTCTAGAAAATTAAAAAAAAAATATATATATTAGATTGAAATAAGATTTCTCAAGACTATAAATACTTAAAATTGATCTGGAGGGCTTTTTTACAGATGTGTGGTGCTATTTAATGCATTTACTCAATATTTACATTGATGATAAGAGAGAATTCGAGTATAGTCTTGCAGGTGATCAACTCGGATTATTCACTTATCATCAACATAGATATAAAATATTGATTAAATATATAAAACAGTACCACACCAATAAAAAAAACTAACTGGATCTGTAGCATTTATGGGCTTGTATAGATTTTGAACATATTAAATCAATTAATGATTAGTTTAATCAGTGAGTATAGAAATGTATATGTAGAACATATTGGCAACAATAATTGGTACCCATTTAGCCCTACTAAGCCATACTAATACTTTTCTTGATTACTTCACTGCTTAATCCACTCCTTTGTTTAAAAAATTGATTTATTCAAATTTAAATTTAAATTAATAAATACATCAGGGACAGGCAGCCTTAGTATGTGTTTACTGGCCTTCCTGAATTAATCAGAAGTAGGAATTCCATATCCTATGGTCCCTGTGTAAAGGCCTATACCCTACCATGTTGTTAAGAATTTTGATAAGTACCAAACTGTGCTACTGGAATTATGCATAACATAAATTTAAAGCTATTCAAATGATTGAACAGTACAAGTAGAAAATGGTTACACTATTATATGAAAAATGACAAGACTGAAATATTATACACATACTTATAGATGGAACAGAAGCATTAGATTGTGTCAATCTTTGTTCAAGTGTCATATCAATTGTATGTCGAGTTGAACGTCTTTCTAATATGAAAACAGCAGCACCGCGAAATAGTTGAGTATCGACAACTTGTGTAGACATCCATATTAATATAATCAATACCACAATAAACAGTATGCCAAAAAACTGTATTACTTCATCACCAAATCCCTCAATTATTGCCATCGCTACATGTATATAAATAAAATAAATTTTAATTATTTTGAAGAGTACCTATAGTAGGTATGTGAAATACTTACTGTTTTATTTTATTACTAGGTATGTATACAACAAATTATGATTCTTCTTTGTATCCCCACTTAATCAATAATTTACATCATTATTAACACAAAATATGAGTGAATTATAATTCAATGTTCACTCTCAATATTATACAACAAATTGTAATATTTTTAAGTAATATACTTACGATAAAAATGATACAAATGTTTGAATAAGTGTAAACGAAGCAACTAGCACTTGAGATTGAAGGCCGAAATTACGATTTAGCTATATCTGAACAACAAAATCGTCCGAACCAATGAACCATAGACAAGAATACCGAACACGGGAACTACTGAACTAGAAAAGTACCAAGTAATAAATAGTAACCACGGTTATAGATAAACCATGGTGGTAACCATGTAAAACTAATTTTGTTTCCTTCACAAATAACATGAACCACTACCACGAATTAAGATTATACAGAATATCAAACGAACGTGTGATAATTGAAGCTCGAACCTTCTCACTTTTAACATAGCTACTAACACCATCTAGTGTATACTTATAAATATCAAAATTTATATAAAATAGATTTAGCAATAAGAATAGATATGTAATTTATTACACACCCTACTCCACAAGTCTAAACTTTAAACTGGTTTTAGTTGATTTTTATATCAATTTTGTCTTAAAGCGCTAGCTGTCATACCAAACCTTTGGTCATATTATACTAGGATACTAATATGATAATATATTGATCCGAGTGCCAAACAGCGAGAACCGGACAGACTCAAAAAAACACTGATAAGACATTTTTGTTCGATATTTTGTACAATGTCTTAATTCGTGACTACTACAGTCAGTACCATAGAGTAAGTCTTACTCTATGATTAGTACACACAAGTACAACATTGGTCTGATAGGACTAGACCATAGATATATTAACTATGGTATAATATACTATATTATATTATAATTTACGTTTATTTTATGTATTTACCAACTTTGGTATTTTATATGACAAAATATTTTTTAAATCACAGATGGCGCTGCGTTGCAAGTGTACGGAATATGATCTGCTTTGATGTACCTACAATCACAAAATAGAAAAACTATGTGTACGTCTCCTTACTCAACTGCCTTTTTCTGAAAAGAAATCTGACTGGAGTGATACTTTAGGGAGAACATTTTTAGATTTAATGATTTTTAAATTTGACATAAAAATGTACCTATATAGATGGAAATATAATATGTGTAAAATAGTATACACGATACACATTGGCCAATTCTTTTCATGGAGGTTTTTTTTTTACAATGGAGGACCTAATTTTTGCAATGTACTTTTTTTTGGATTTTTATATCTAGTCATTATAATTATATAGGTACCTCACATTTTAACAAGTGACTCACTCTCATGAGTCTGTAAGGGTAATTAAAATCCGTAGTTTCCTGTAAAACAGGATTACTTCACAAAAAGTGCTATACTTACATATTGAATCAAGATTTCTGGTAGACATATTTGTCACAGTATATAAAAAAAAACCATCATTGTACCTAACACTGTATCGCTACACTCAGAATCTAAAGTTTAAATTAAATCAATCATTTCCAATTTTGATTCTAAAAATATATTATTTTATTATATCTTTACAAACTGATTGTCCCTTCTTAATTTTCCATAATTCTATCTCACCCTTTATAGAATATTTATAAAAATTGTTTCAATAAAAGTATTTCCAAGATTCGGAATCATCTTTATGGCATTTGGAACCAAATGCATTTGGAACCAAATGCATTTGTAATTATTTGTTCTTAAGAACTATAGATATTTTGTATAACAAAAAGAATATTACATGGGGGGGAATCGGCCCCCTCGCTCCTCAGGGACGCATCTGTTCCGAAAACATGAAGTCTGAGAATAAAAATTGGTTGGACAAAGGTTGAAAATTCTATTTTTAGAGGAAATTTGACAAAAATAAAACGAATCAATTCAAATTGTATTAAGTGGCTCAACCAGGGGGGGGGTTGGGTATTGAGACCCCCCGACATATATTTGTTAGTTTTTTACGAAATACCTACGTGGTTGTATGATTTTCATACCAATTTTAAACATAATGTTGTAATATCGTGTATGAATAAGTGATAATAACTATCATTATAAAGATCATTTTCTACACTTCAGAGGCTAAAAACGTATTTAGAAGAATTGATCTAAATAATTAATCTTAGAATGTGAATTATTATTATTATACAGAGTGGGCCATTTAAATCTTCGGGATGATTTTTTTTAATAATTTTATAAAAAAACATAAATTAATAATTTTGAATAATTTTTCGTTTATTTTGAAAATTTTTTCTGATTAATTTTTAAAAATAATTTCGCTTAAATGATTGCTTTAAAAGCGAATATAATGTGCTCGTTTTGCGACATTTCTTATCTTTTTTGAAAGTATTTAATGTTGAATAGACCGTAAATAAACAAAATTGTTGGTTCTACGCCAATGAAAATCCTCAATTAATCCACTAAATACCTCTTAACAATCAATGCGTGGACTTTTTGGGCCAGAATTTCGACGAAAACGATCATTGGATTGTTTTTTTTTTTATACACGTAATGATGTATTGCACGTTTTATTATAAACGATGTACCTATATATTTATATATTTTACAACTATAGTATTAAGTACGTATAGATTAATGGACTTAATTTAAAAATTAAAAAAAACGTTTAGGTAGTTGTTTTTTAGTTGAAGTAATTAACATAATACAAGGTGTGACAGAAAAAACTCCGTAGTTTGATAAGGGTTTAGTTTGGGTTTGGGTGGAGGTACATTAGTGATATTTACATCGACAGAAAGTCCTATCGATGCCATTTATAGTATTCATCATGGCTTGGTCAGGAGAGCATCATGCGTTTGTTATCGAGGAATTTATTAATAATCTTCTTCGGAATGTTCCCCGTACAGATGTTTTGATTTTTACGGACGAGGTACATTTTCACCTCTCAGGTACGGTAAACAAATAAAACTTTAGATACTGGTCTGAACACAATCCTCAAGAACTTCACCAGCGACCACAGTCCAAAGGTTACAGTTTGGTGTGCCATTTTCGCATTTGGTGTGTGGGGTCCGTACTTCTTTGAAGAAGACGGTGTTACTGTAACAGTGACCTTTAATCGCTATTGTGAGATGCTTGAACATTTTCTTCGGCCAAAATTGAACGATTTTTTTCATGAGTATGGACAACGAAATGTGTGGTTTCAACAAGATGGTGCAATAGTACATACAGCTCGTCGTTTACTTGGCATTCTGCGAGAAATGTTCCTAGGCATATTGTCTCCTTGCGAGGTGACAATGGGTGGCCGCTACGTTCACCAGATTTGAACCCATGCGATTTTTTTCACTGGGGTTAACTAAAAGCCCAAGTGTACCAACATCGTCCACAAACTTTGGAAGCTCTGAAGGAGGTAATAACCCAGGAAATTGCTGCTATACCGCCCGAAATGACCCGTAGTTATAGAAAATTACCGAGAAAGGCTCCATCAGTGTATCGAAAATGAGAGCCGCCACTTAAGTGATATAATTTATAAAAATAATTAATATAAAATGGCATTTTATGTACAATTTATAAATACAATTTTTTTTTTGATATTTGACTTAGTTTGGTTTTTATAAGTTTCCTTAATCAGGGAGTTCTTTTTGTCGCACCATGTATCTGCAGTATATTATAAAAGAAAAACAATTTTAATTAACTAAAGTTCATTATTCACTATCACAAACAATTATCAAGTGACAATATAATAATGTATTTTGGGTTTTGCAATAAACACTTAACAGTTTCTAATTTGTAAATAGGTAATATTATGTATCAGTGTATTGTGTATTTGTGTATCACTATAATTTAATATAATATCAGTTAGAGTATCAGTGTCTAAAAAAAAAAAAGAATTAAAGGGTTTATACAGACAACCTGGTATAATATGGAGCGCTATAGTGCCCTAGAAAATCTACGAGCTTACCGTGTTCTAATCTATATTTGGTAATTGTCGGAAATTGATAAGGATATAATAATTTTTGTATTAGGGATGTAACCAACGCAAAGAAAATTAATTGGCCTATGCAATAATTTAACACTTAATGCCCATAAATCTTGTATAATAAATTATGTATTCACCAGTGAATAGTTAATCCACCTCGTTTATTTATGGTTATTAATGATCCAGATTCAGAATGGGTTCGAGTTAAAACTTTAGTGCAATCATCATAAATTAATTTAGTTGTTAGTTTATGAACAATGGAGCTAGCAATATATTCAATATCATCAACTACTTGCTGTAAAAAATTAAATTGATTATTATTCTTGAATACTCGTAAATTAACATCTTTGTAATTGCTCGGATAGATGAGAAAATAAATCCTAACCTGACCACATATTATAATCGTAATCAATCAAATGCCCTATTGCACAAAAATTATTGATAATTTTTTTTTTTTTGATAATGAAAATATCTATACAAACATTTTATTGTTAAACATTGATATTATTTCAAATTGAATCAGAAAAATAAAAATCTCTTATCAATTTTCTGACAACTGCTAATATCCTTACAAGAATGATCAACGAAAACGCTATTGGTTACACTGCATTCGGTCAGTGGGTTCGGGATTGTTGACCGGACAACACGAGTGTCCGATAATACGGGTTTTGGTTGGTATGAGTGGTAATGGTTCTCTTCTGTCGTCTGTCCTACCGACCGTATCGTATCGTGGAATCGTGGTTCCGTTTACATCGGTTTACAAACGGGGGAAAAGAATTAGTAGTTAGTAATAATAAGTCATTCGGTTTCGTAACTTCTTTGGGTGCCGAGCTCCCGTGGTTCCTACACCCGTGTCCACGCCGACGAGGGCCTATGTCCCGTCGCGCGGCCTGAACTTGACGCCTCGCCATACCATCGCATAACCAAGCCGGATATCCAAACCCGCGAGTGGTTCTTCTGTTGCACAACTCGTCCGTCCGTCCGTCTATTGGTCACACGACGAATTCGTTACTTGACCTGCCATCATCTCTGTACACGCCCGGGTGGCTACCACTGCCGCTACCGGATATCCAAGCTCGTGTTGTCATGGCCGACTTTGGACGTGGGCCAGTTATATAAGGGGCCCCGCCGTACGACAGTGACGACACACCGCCGCCGCCACCACTGCTACCGCCACCTTCCGGCCCGCGACCGTCTCCGTGATTGTGCTGCATTACTCGTCGTCGTCGTCACTCCGCAGTGACTTTGGACACATCAAATTTCGCCCTAAACGAATTTCGACCACATCGCAAAGGTAACGTACTATGCTGTTTGAATCTTTTTTAAAATATAGTTATTGTTTTCTTTTGGATATCTTTTTGACAAACAACTTCAGCATGCTATTTTATTAGGTACCTACTTTCATAATATACATATTTTAGAATATATGTACACATATTTATACATATATAATATACACTCAATACTGTTATTTTCAACGACAGGGACCAAACTTTATACGTAACGAATACTTTTTTTATTTCGTCCGCTCGTGTGAAGGTGACCTAAATATTGGTATTTAGGATGTGGCGCGCGTGAATGTAGAACAGCGGCGTTGGCGACCGCAGAGGAGTGCTGTAGCAGGCAGCAGTCAGCAGTCGGCGTCGCTTGGCAGAATTAGGTGGTCGGCGAGCGGTGGAGTGGTTGGGCAGTTGCGGCAATGCGGTAGGGAATTTTTTGTTGAAGGGGCCACGGGGGATACCACCGGCGGCGGCAACTGGATTTCTGTTCTCACTTTTCTCGTTCTTCAGTGCCGTCGCTGCTGCCAGCTCGCTCCTGACGACCTGCTGTCGTTGTGCACGTAAAAACAACTTACCGTACACCTGTCTCCATCCGTGCGGTTAGGATAGGTGGGTATAGTTTTTTTTTCTCTTCCGGTCGGGAGTGGTGTCCCATATCGCCGTATGTGCGCGTGTGTAGAACGGAGTTTCTCCTGGTTCTGGTGCGGAAGTTCTTTTAAGAAAAATAAGTGCTTGTGCGTAGGTCGTCTGTCGACTGTGCTGTGAAGGTAGTGAACAGTGATCACAACGAGTGTCCGTGCATCGTTCCAATCTGATTCCTCGTGCGTCAGGAATTCCTGCACTTTTATTATACATTGATGACAACTATTGTACATTTTATAAGCTTAATATTATTATAATGATATTCAAATATTATTTTTTCTTTTGTTATCATTTATGAATTGATAAGATAACATCTAGGCTTACCAAAATTTGAATTTTTTCTTTTATCATCACTGTGGCGTGTTTTAGAGGGAAATAATCGTATTCCGAACATTTTGCTTACTACGCGCGCGCGTGTGAGTATCTGAATACATTCATATTCGTAATAATATAATATTGTATAATATAGATATATACGTTTTGTTGTTATCACAATTCCCGAAAACGAAATATTTTTGTTCGTCAATTGCATTATCATTTATTTTTTGTTTACTTATTGCATTTTGAAATTATTAACGATGTATTTAAGACACATTTATTTAATTATAATTATAACAATTATAAGTTTTTTTTAACCATTTAATTATTTTACTATCTACAACTTCACCAAAAACTTACCTTTGTTTACTAGGTATCAATAACAACAATACATTTTAATAATTTACTATTCTATATAGTTAATAACTGTGGTTAGTTTTGGATTTATGTATAAAATTGAATAATATGTAAAAAAAAAAAAAATAAATGCTTAATCTGTATATTTTTTTCTGGATTTCCATTTTAATTTTAATAGCAGTTATCCCGTGTTTACAGATTGTTATCTGGATGTGATTTATCAGCTAATTGAAAATGTATGATATCTGTTGAGTTATTTTTGAATTATCAAAGAAAATATTATAAATTAAGTTATTACTTCAATTTTCGGTGATTTATGATTATAAGTTTCTCATATCTCAAATTTTATTAATTATTAAAAAGTTAAATAAGTACCACAAATTAAGTTATAGAACTGAATATTAATAATACAGCTTTTTTTGTTTAATTTGTATTGATTGATTCTCTATTTAGTTATGATTTACAATAGGTAGGTGTATTTACAGTATAACATTAAGCAATACACAAAGATCTATTTGTATTTATTCTATTAAATACTAATCGACCAGATTTAGAATCCATCGGTAAATAATGTATTTTTAAAAATTTTTGATCTTATGCTTCAATTATTTGGTAGATATCTACTTTTTATTCATTGGATTTTATACTCTAAACATACCTACCTACAATATTTCTGAGAAAATATATTAATTTGTAGCTACTATATATATATATATATATATATATATATATATATATATACTCCTTTCTTTATTATTACTAGTATTAAAATGGAATATAAATATTCTTGACTAGATATACCTAATAAACCTTGAGTAAAATAAAAATATTTTTTTTGTTTTTAAGAGTAAAATTTGTTGTTTTTAAGAATTCTAAGAACTTCATAGTTAGATGGCAAATTTTACACATTTCATATGTTTTTGAATGTTTATTATTCATAAATTATGAAATTTAAATTTACCAGTAAATTTTATCTTAGAAAAATTATATATATATATATTAAGTTATCTAAGAACTATTACACTATTAATTTCATATTCGTATTTTATATTTATAACTATACCAATTGATATTACTAATACAAATGGAAGAAAAGAAATAGTCAATTTTTTGAGGGTTTTTTTTTTAATAGTTTCTACTGTAGTATTCACTATTTAACAACAATATTTATCAATATATCTATAAAATAACACACTATTCATGTATAAAAATTGGTAACTAGAAAAAACTGAGATAAGATAAATCTAATATTACATAACTTATTGATGACTTAATTTGATAAGTTGAACAAGTGTGATGCAGAAATCTAGTGGATATTGCTAAATATTAATTTGCTTTGCTGACATTGGCACAAAATAGTATAAATACCTACAATTATTACTTTTGATAGTAATTCAAAATGGTTGTAGATTTTCATATCAAATGACCAATTTAATAAAGATATTTTGATAAATAATATTTAGATAGTAACAGAAAATTTGATTCTTACTTTCAGGTTAAAAAAAAAAAAAATATACTTCACACCATGGTTGTGCTACTGTTGTTGGTGGGATGCTTAGAATGTACAATATAAAAAGTTACTCAATTAATGATTTCACAACAATAAATCATTACTAAAAAAAGGAACTGAGAAATTCAACTAAAATTAAAAATAATTGTATTAATTTCTGTCGACAAATCGCTACAATATTTTTTCATTTCAAGTTTTTGAAGTAAATCAGAAATTTCATCCATATAAAAATATTCAAAATATTGTGATAATTACAATTTTCATCAAAATTTGAACTTAAAATACTTAGGTATAAAAAAAAAAAAAAAACTAGACTACCGATTTTCAATTTTTTTATATGACCATAAGAACGACTTAAGGTGAACTTCATTATCAAATTTTCAAACATTTTTGAAAAACCAAATCAATTTTATTAAAAAAAAAATTAAATCTAACATTTCAAATAGCTTTAAATACCTCAAAAATATGCATAGTAATTAATAATAAAAGGATCACTTTTAGAAATTGCTAACATAATTATTTGGTTGATATTTCAAATCTCTGTGATTTTTTTTAAACTCATATATTTGAAAATAATAAAAATCTTTTTTGAGTTCTTAAATATATTTATTTTTCCAATGTTTCCCAGTTATTAAAAAAAAGTATAGCTTATATTATCAAAATATGACCTTTCACTGTAGCAACTACAAAACATTTAATACCTAAGTCTACATCAGTGCTTCTTAACGGAGGCGATATCGTCCCGTTGGGCGGTGAGCTCGTTTAGGGTGATAGTTGGGGGGGGGGTGAACTTTTTTCTGTTCAATGCAACGTACCAAGATTTGTCTGTAATTGTTTCCGTTTTTATCGATTTATAAAATAAACTCGTGATTATGAAATATAAGCTACATATACCAAAGCATCAAACGTTTGCTTATCTGTAATCGTTTTCGAACACCTTCAGTCTTTGGTTAAAGATTTTTCACAACATTTTAAAGATATTATGCTTCTGGAAGTTCCTCAATGTTTCATAAACCCCTTTTTAAATATTAAATCAACAAAAATACAGTGTCAAGAAGAATTGATCGAAATTTCCACTAACGAGATGTTAAAAGCAAGTTTTAAAAATATTGAAAACCTCACAGAATTTTGGCTCCAGTCTACTATTAGTCGAATTTATCCTGAGGTGTGGACTGTCATATAAAAATTATTATTTGCCTTCCCTTCCACTTACCTCGTTGAGCGAGGATTTAGCGCGGTAATAAATCTAATGACGAAAAAAAGAAATTGACTTGACATCGTCAAAAGAGGAGACTTACGCCTTCATCTCACAAACTTTGAACCAAACGTAAATAAATTGGCTTTGAATCATCAAGCACAACCATCTCATTGATCGATACATTTTAAAACATTTTAATTATCCTCTTAAATTATATTTAAACTTAAACTTTTCATGTATACTATTATTATTTTAATGAAATGAGGGAAGGCGTTGAAAAATATTTTGGTTCTTAGGGGGGCGTCTGTTTTAAAAAGGTTGAGAAGCACTGGTCTACATTGTATGTTGATTATCAGAGGATTCTTTTCTGGTTAAAAGTTTGTTAACAAAGAAATACAAATCTGTACATCATATTAAAACTTGCATCTACCTTGCTACTTCTATAATAAAAAAATTATTTAATAAATTAATAAAAATATAATTATTAAAGTAATAGTTAATTTTAATGTGTCATCTTAAAACTCAGAATATTTTAATTAATATTTTTATTGGTGGAAATCGAAGTCTATATTGATGTATTTGTATTAAATATAAATATATTATTATTCACATAAACTAAATACATTAACTTAATTTTGAATATAACATACCTAATCTATAACTTTGATTTTTGGTTTGTTTTAGGATATAACTATAAAACATGCCAAAGCACTAAGGTTCATTAAGAGTAAATTCCTTATTGAGTATTGTTTTCTTTATTGAAATAGTAAATATGCTTTCTGAAAGTATTAATTTCTTAACAAATGTATTATAATTATGGTAATTTTGGTTTTCTGCTATTTATTTTTAATAATCAAAATCATAACTGAAGTTTTGTTTGTTTTAGGAATCTAATCATTCTACACAAAATAATAAAATGTCACGATTACATCATATTCAACCAGAAGTGAGTATAATTCTTATATTTTGTAATATAACTTACATTTAAAAAATGTAGTATATTTTATATCACAGACTAGACAATTTAAATGGTATAGAATATATGTATTATTATTACTTCTTACTAAGTATTAATTTTTTCTATGCCAAGAAAATTATTGAATTTGCACAAAATTAAAATGTATAGGTTAGACTGAACTATAATTTATAACTAAATTAAGTAAATAATGGTAATTTCCAGTTAAATACATTTTTGATGAATATTTGATTTCTAGAAAAAAGTACAAGATAAATTTTCTATTGAATAGTAATTTATAACAAAAATAAGTGAATTTACTTTTTTAGTAGTTAAATATTTTTATCAGCAATAAAATGGTACACATTTGCTATGAAATACCTATTGATTATCGTCATTAAACAAATTTCAAAGTTATCAAATCATACCCAACGAATATCCAGAAACCTTTGAACATTTACATAGACTGTTTTAAAATAAAATTATGAGTTTACTTGAATACTTAGTGTTTAGTTTTTCTTGAATATTTTATTTTTCCAATAATGTTAAAAATAATTTACAATTATTTTAAAATTACTTTTAGGTATCAATTTTTGCCGTTTCGCCAAATCCTCCACCTAAACCTAGAAAAATCAAAAGTGAACCTCCACCTTTAAAACCTGCAATATGGCCTGTGAAGCAACCTGTGGCATCTATGCAATTGCAACAGTTCTTAAAAGCTCAGCGCCTGAGTCAAAAGCAACCAGTACAAAGAGGGCCCCCGGCACTAAACAAAATGCAATACTTTGCCAATGATAGCCGTACTGAATATCAAAAACAGCAACAGCAAATGCATCAAAAACTTATGCAACAACGAATGGCTAACAATAATAGTATCCGGGAAGATTCTCCAAATCCCATGGATTTTCTTGAAGTAATTTTATAATAATAATGATATTTTTAAGTACAGTTTTTATAATTTTTCAATTTAACATTTTTAGATTGGTGTCCATCCCGGTAACACTATTATCAATAATATTTCTAAAAATGCAAAACCAAAATCTAATTTTAGAATAGTAAGATGATAAATTTTTAACTATTTTATTATATCAATTATATCAATATTTTATTATGTAAATCATTATCTAATATGTAAAAATTAATTCTAGGGAGGAACTCTTGGGTCATCAGACTCCGGTAGTCGCCGAAAGAATGCCAATCCTAGAAAAGTAGCTCGAGAAAATGAAATTGAAATACCAATACCAAATGATCATTTTCTATTATCTCAGATTAAACAAGAAAATCTTCGACAATCTTGTTTATTGTGTGAACGAAATTTTAGCAATAAATATGATCTTAGTCAACATATATCAGAAGTTCATGGTATCGAACAATCAGATTTACATCAATCAAATGGACATTTAGGCGAAGATGAAGAACTTGCTGAAAGTATGATGGAAGCAGAAACTGTATTCTTTTGTGAAGTATGTACTAGAGAATTTCAAGACAAAGCTAGTCTTTGGTTACATATGGTTAGAGGGCACAAACAAGAAGCTGCAGTAACATGTGGAGTATGTATGAAAATCTGTAGTGATAGTAAATCACTTATGGAACATGTGAATGTCCAACACCCCAAAAGTAGTGATACGGCTGATTCTATACAGCGTAGGTATAGATGTCAAGTTTGTGCTCGACAACATGATACTAAAAAAAAAATGATGAGGCATGTAGTTATTCACACAGTTTACGATAATGATGGTCAGATTATAGACCCTGATAAATTAATTATTATCAACAATAATTTTCATCCAACCAAGGCTTCAAACAATGAGCATTATACAATTAGTTGTCAAGTTTGTCATAAAGTGTTTCCAAGTGAAGAAAAACTTTTACGGCACATGTCATCTGTTCATTTGATGACTGGTTGTGATGATATGATCACAACAACACTATTGATAGGTAATTCTCAAAGTAGTTTTGTAAATCGTTGTGAATTATGTGGGGACTCATGTGGTTCTCGTACTGAAAAATGGTGGCATGTACTTAAAGAACATGGCACTAATGAAACACTTATATGTCCAAAACCAGATTGTAGAAAATTATTTGTGTCACAATCTTTACAAATTGAACATCAATCTCATCATGAACTCCAAGGTGATCTTCCTAACACATGTGAAGTATGTGGACGGTTGTGGCCCAATAGAAATGATTTTTATAAACACATTATGGCAGTACATGCCGAATGTATGCCTTTGTTGTGTGGTATATGCCTAAAAGTTCATTTAGATGTACCTAAACTTAGAGAACACATAAAAGAAAAACATGAGCCTTTAGTATCAAAAGAGAATGCTATATACTGTGACATATGTGGCCGAACTTATACTAAATGGTCAAAAATGATGAGACATAGATCAATACACAATGTTGAAGACCAAGTTTCTCATTTTGTAACAGATCAACTAACAGAAGTGAACCTTAAATGTACATTATGTCCAAATACAGAATTTAAGACTGTTGAAGAGATATCTGAACACCGTAAAAATGACCATCAACTACATGTGTGTGATCTTTGTTCTAAATATTACAGTGGTAACAATCATCTATGGAAACATGTAAGTAGGCAACACAAAGGTCACCCAGATGTCACATGTAGTTTATGTGCTCGCACATCTGCTTCCAAAGTTCACCTTAAACGACATATGATGAAATATCATTCTGATCCTGTAGACCAACTTATAGACAAGTCAAATAATAGTAGTTGTGCAGAAATAAATGCTACACATCAATGTATGAAATGTGATAAAGTGTTCAGGATAAGAAGTTTGTTGAAGAAACATTTAAAATATTGCAAAGGTAAAAGAGACTCGATGCCACCAATACCCAAAGAAAAGGGTCATTATCCTTGTACAAAATGTGGTAAAATATTTGAATATCAAACTTACTTAAATAGGCACTTGAGGCATAGTCATCTAGTTCAGTATTGTGAAATATGTTCAGAAGATAAAACCGGTGAACATTTTGATAATAAAATGTTATTGATGGATCATATCAGGGAAAAACACGTAAATAATCCAGAGTTATGTTGTGATTTTGAAGGTTGTGACAAAGTTATGAGAACAAAAGCTGATTGCCAAAAACATAAACGTGATCATGTTCGTAAAGTGTTTTCATATGTATGTGAATTTTGTGGAGATTTACATTCAAATAAAAAAACTTATAGAAAACACTTACGACAACGACACAAAGGCAACACTCAATATTTATGTGGAATGTGTATGGAACTTTGTGTTGACAGTGATGGTTTATCAAAACATTTACATGAAGCACACCCTCAAATTTTTAACAAACCAAATACTTGCCAACTTTGTGGAAAAATGTTCACTGTTGGAAGTAAAGTAGGTGAGCACATTGATAAAATTCATGGAAAAAATTTAAAACCTTGCAAAATCTGTTGGAAAGTATTCAGTGATATGGAAAAACTTAAAGATCATATTGAAAATCATCCAGCAAAAGAAGATTTTCCTAAAGTAGTTACACCTATTAAAAAATTAATTGACCCTAAACCAAAAACTCCAAAATTATACGGTCTTCCTAAAGAACTAGCAGAACTTGGTTTTAGTGAAGAACAACAACAGAGTTTGAAACGAGATATAGATGATGCTTCATCAGATATAAATACAAAGAGACTGAGAAAATTACATTCTTGTACAGTTTGCTACAAAAGCTTCAGATTTGAAACAGATCTGTATGATCACAAAAGAGAAGAACATTCTATTATAGAAGATGGTTATAATATGGAAGAAGACAATAATTGTGGAAAAACTGTATGTGGAATATGCAGAAAAGAATGGATAAGTTTGAAACATTTCTGGCAACATCTAATAAGGGCTCACCGTGCAGAAGCTGCTTTTGTTTGTGGGCTTTGCTGTCACATAAGTACAAGTTATAATAATTTATCATTACACCTGGATAATCATCATCCAAATGCTACCGTGTCATCATTATTTGCATGTGATGTTTGTGGTCGTAATCACAATGCATTTTCAAAACTTCAGAAACACCGTATTATTCATTCAAATGCACCAACTGCATCTCCAAAATTTCATTGTGATGAGTGTGAACTTGTGTTTAATACAGAGTCTTTTGGGGAAAAACATATCTTGACCCATGGTCCTGGTGGCAAATTGTGCAAAGGTAAAGATTTGTGTCAAGAAATGGATGATGACATGTTGGAGGAACAAATGGAAGAGGAAGACGTTGAAGATGGTGAAACAGAGAATAAAGGAGATGATGACGATGACGATGATGATGATGATGATGATGACGAAGAAGAAGAAGAAGAAGAAGAGGAAGAAGAAGAAGAAGATACGCAAAATGATGAAGACGGTGACATTGAGCAAAATGATGAAGACGGTGACATTGAGCAAAATGATGAAGTAGAAGATGAAGAAGAAACTGATCAGAATGTAGAAGATTATGATGAAGAACAGAATGATGCAGAAGACGATGATGAAGAAAAAAATGATGATAAAGATAATGTTGAAGTAGATGATGAAGATGAGGTAGAAGAAAATGGTGTTGATGACGAAGATGAGGATGAGGAGGATGAAGATGATGATGAAGTCTAATTTAGGTTCCTATTTATATGTTATTGAGCTTTTAAAGTTTTTGCATAAAACCTGTTGTTTTTTTTGTTTATTTAATTTGTTCATGATGACGAATCTGAGGAAGTAAATTTCTTTGAAAGAAAACATAAGTGAATGTTATTTTTAAAGACTGGTATACTGCCATTAATTAACTTGGCTTGGCAAACATAACATAATTTTTGGTAACCATATATATTGTATATACATTTTATACTTTAATAATAGGCATGGGTTTTGTACTGAGTGTTCATTTTTATTTTAATATAAATATATATAATTTATTTTTAACACCAAATAATCATTGTATCATATTTTTGTTATTTACTGTTAAAAAGGCACTTTAATAACTGTTATGCTATTTGTAAATATTTCTTCAACTTCATTGACATTGTAAATTGTATAGAATATCAAATCTTAATATATGTTACATGTACGAATTTTTTTAAGCAATGGCGTACCTTTATTGTTATAGTAATTTATTTAATTGGTAAGCAGACATATTTTTTAACAAAAAACTTTACGCCTCATAATTTTATATAACCTGTGTGTAGTCAATTATCTTAAGGATTTTATTTTATTATTATATTATTATTATTTATGGATCAAAAATTCTAGACATAATCAATTATTGAATTATACATTAAAACCAAACCAAATTTTATTAACATCGTATTTTTTTATGATTAATATCTGATTTTATACAATATGATGATTTAATGTCAAAGTGCAAGTATTTTTTTCTGTATACCTTATTTCAGTCAATTTTCTTTTTTTTGACATACATTAAACAACAGTGTTAGTTGTTTATTAGTGAATATTATCTTGGGTGAGATTTATATTCTCTTTAAAACTTGAAATCATGTTTTTAATATTAAAACAATCTACAAATATGTTTTTTATGAATATATTTTCTTAGAAGGACTGTGTGCAACTCTTTGTCTAAAGACATTATCTAAGGGATTAACTATTTTGCCTCGTACAGTGGTATGATATAGATATCTTCTGAGCAACAAGAGGAATGAATTTCAATGTTTATTTTTCTTTTTATCAGCAATTTTGCTAAGATTTTCAATTATAGCAATTTTTCTGAAAGGAAATCGGGTGGTTGGTACTTTCAGGAGGTCATTTTTTGATTTTCCTAGCTGAAAAATAGAAAAATAAGTACAATATTAAAGTAATTATTTATTGCATATTATATAATTATTTTAACATAATATGACATATATTATTGACAAAGCAACACTATTAACCGAACTTTACTTAGAATTTTTTTTTATTAACAATGGTCAATCGTTTATTTCATATACATTAAATTTTCCCTCTACCTTCCCAACTTCTCATCTAGGTACAACAGTGGCTCACCCATTTCGCAAACGGTTATACCCATATATTTTTATCTTTTTTGAAAAGAAAAATTCTAATGGGGTGCATTGTAACACAAATTCAAATATATCTAATTAAGGTTAATCAGAATAAAAAATCGCAAAAAAAAAGACTATATGTATTTTACTATTAATTATTTTTTTTTGTTTTTCCCAGACAACCATTAATTTTCCCACCAGAAAAGTTACTAAATTTAAAAATTGAATAAAGTTTTTAGTAAAAATGAAAACAAAAAATACACATACAATCAATATAAAAACAGTTTTATAAGGCATAAGTAAACAATAATAATAATACATTCATTACTAAGAGAATAGAGGTGCAGTACTCAAAGAAAAAAGGCTAAGGTAATTGGAATCGGAAGTAAGGCGTTCTGAATTAAACTTGGCTATGTAACGTAAGATAGTCAACTACTCTATTAATGAGCTTCTGTAGGACCAACTGGCTAGCATTTATTCACCCAACATCAAGGAATTGTACAATCTAGTATATTCAACAGGGCCGGATTAAAGATAAGAGCGGCCCTGAAGCAATATTTATTCGATACTTATAAGAAGCTATTAAAGGCACATATATTTTATGAAATACTATAAAATATGCGAAATAATTTAATACAAATTCGATAACTTTTTTTGTTATGAAATTAAATACGTACTAAAACACTACAAGTTAAAACATCATTATAATATTTTATAATAATTAGTTCTTTGAATATTATAATAATACGCAATATAAAAATACATACACACATATATGTATTTAACACATAATGTATTAGGACAGTTTTTATAAGTGAATACAATGTAATGTAAACATTTCTTCATCGATTTCATAAAAGCAAATTATTTATTAATAATTTATTTATGAACGAGTTCTTTTCACTTTATATCTTTAAATATCTATTTCAGAACCGATGCACAGTATTGACAAACCTGATATTTTCTCAATAACAGTCGTAACAGCTAAGTAAAAAAAAATACCTTTTAAAAAAAACTCTAATTTTTAGCATTGTTCAATAATTACACTTATCTCTTTTATTTTTTTCAATTGTTCTTTTACGGTATTATTTATAACCGCTTGATTTAATTATTTTAGTGCTCAATAAATGTATTTGTGTCAATTGCGAACGCTTGATCAAGCGTTATGAATGAATACAAAATGTAATAAATAGGTATTTGAACATCAAAACTCAATATATACTACTGCTACTCCTATAAATTTGCGCCCTAGAGCAAAAGTTTCTTTTGCACCAATATTAATCCGGGCTTAATATTCAGTACCGGATCATTTACGTTACCTACCTATATTATTGAATTATACACACCACAATCAACATTTTTCAAATCATGTTACCATTATTGGTTTAGTATTTAATTTAAAAAAGTTAACTAAAGAAAACAGGCGTAAATTTAAAAACAGTGTTAATCTACCCAGTATCGTGTATTCAACTTTTTTGTGAGAAGGGGGAGGTTAACATTTTTCTTAACTAAGTGATTTTATAATATTATAAAAGTACATATAGGATGTGAATTAGGTAATAATTATATTATTATTATAAATACACATTAAAAATTATTTTTAATATAAAAAGATAAACGTCTTCTTTTTTGCCAGTCCATCAATCATTTCTTTATAATAACTCTTCCCTACTTCTTCTGTCTAAACTTTAAACAGTTATAACACATAACAGTAAATCTGATATTAGTGTTAGGCATATTAAAATTTCTAGAAAAATACATTCTATTCGAATCTGTGTTCAAAAAAGGGTAGTACCCATTTGGAAAACAAAAGTATATTATTTTTTAAGGTAGGTATATGAAAAAAGGGTAAAAAATATTTTATTTATATTGTACTGTTTCAAAAATCAAAAAATGACCTATGAATTTACCAAGTAAATAAAATTGACTTTCAGTAAAGGTACTACACTTATTCATCAGAGCAAGTTTTCTAGTATAAAAGTGGTCTATAGTGTATATATATATATACATATAAAAATAAAGTACCATTATAAAAAAATTTAAAAAAAAAAGTTGTCCGATCATTTTGGAAATTTGACCACGTCTAGGTAAGTCCAATATAAGTATTATTATAAAGTTTCCAGTCTCTATGTGTATTTTTAACCGTATAACAACAAAAAAACTCCTTAAAAGCTCAAAAGTAGCTCAAAAATTTTGACTATGATACCGTAAAAAATTAAATCAAAAAGGCAACAATAAAGGTGACTTGTGATATTACGATAAAATCATTTTTTTCTGGTAGAAAACGTCGTCCATGTTTTTATAAATGCATAAAACCGTGAAATTATACATTTTCCCCATTTAAGTACTTTTATTTAAAAAAATGGCGTAGAAAATCAAAAAATGATCTCTCTAAAGCAGAGGTTCCCAAACTGTGGGTCTTTATTATATTTTTGGTGTGTCGTGTTATATTTTAAAATATTACATTTTTTAAACATCTATTACTGTTCAAATTCAGTTTTATCGTCAATCATTATCTGTGAGTGTGACGATTACGAGTTTACAGCGACCAGAGTCAAAACGACGCAATTAGATTAATAGTTATTGAAAAGATGATTTATCAGAACACACAAATTAGTAGGTATCTGCACGACGTTCAAAACTCTTGATTATTTTCAGTTACACGCGGTATATTGAATACGATACATGTACACAGTTGTATATTTAATATTATTTTTTCTCAAATAAATTCGTTTTCTTTGTAGTTTTGTACAACTATGGGCAAATGGTTAAACAAATAGTCAATGACTCAAAGTTAAGAAAAAACAGAAACAATATCTGCGTCAACAGTTAAAAAAAGAAAATTTAATTACGATGAACCTTCAACAAGTTCTGAGTCGAAACAAAAAAATTCTTTAAGAAAATATTGTTCTGAATATTTGCGAATTGGATTTTCGTGGAATTGAAACGAACACCCACGTCCACAATGTGTTATTTGAGGATGTATACTTGCAAATGAGATTATGCGACCAAACAAACTACATCGACATATAGATACGAACCACCCAGAAATGAAGAATAAACCACTCGATTTTTATGGAAGAAAACTAGAATCTCTAGAAAACATCAAAAAATAATATTTTTAATTTTACTGCAATTAACCAAAAAGCTACGTACGCCTCATATAAAATAACTTTACTTATAAATTGCTCAAACTGGTAACTGGTAACTAACACAATTGGTGAGTATTTAATTTTACCATCAATAAATGACGCAGTCGGGATCATGTTTGATCAAAAAAGTTTAAAAGAAGTTGAAAAGTTATCGCTTTCAAATAATACAGTTCCCCGTAGAATCGATGAAATTTCTGAATGGGTAGAATATAAACTGATCGAAAGAGTTAATTTGAGTACATGGTTTTCATTAAAACTAGACGAGTCCACAGATATGCAAGGCTTATCTTATATGATTGTTTTTGTACATTACATATGGATGAATCGAGGTGATAAATGTCAGCAAAAAAAAGGTCATTCATTGATATTGTGGGTCGCCAAATTTTAAAAATTTCCCAAAATGGGTCGTACAATAAAAAGTTTGGGAACCTCTGCTATAAATTATCATTTAGACAACTTGAGCTTTTAGTTTTCTATACTGTTGCTTGCTACACGTAAAAAGAGAGTAAGTTTACTAGGAAAAAAAGTGTCTACAGACTAGAACAAAGAAAAAATAAACATCTTAATAAAACCTATATCACCCACTCTAGGCTCGGAATCTAAAAAGCTGAATTTAAAATTATTATAAATTTTGATCATAATATGAATATGGTTGTTTTTTCCCAGACGCATGTTTTTCCTAGAAACACGTCTCGAGAGTTGCCAATTAGATTGATTGTCTAGTTATTCATTTTATTTATAGACAGATAATATTGTTTAAAGTATAAAATATTATCGTTAAGGGCCACAGGGCAGCGATTTACCATATTTTAAATATGCTCCAATAAATTCCGTTTATGTTGAACATTATTTTTCAATGTTCAAAATGTTGTTAGCTGGCAATAGAAAAAGTTTTCTGTTTGAAAAACATCTTGTTGTTCAATGTAACTTCCAAGGTAAAAATTTGTGTTAATCTTAAATATTCAAAACTAAAATATTTTGTCAATTGTTTTTTAGTAGTTGAAGAAATTGAAAGTTGAAAGTTTTGAAGTATCCAGATAAGAAAACCCATAAAATAAACCCAAATATTTCAAATAATTAATAGTAACTTGTAAGTTACGCATATTTGGTGATTTTTACAAGATACCATATTATTAAAAAAGTACTTCTAAAAGTATTTGATTAACATTTTCTAATTTTCTAATTATACAGTTTAATCCTGAATTTTACTTGACTTAAACTTGCAAACATAACTAATAGGTATACTCTATTACAAGAATAATCATTTTCTTCTTTATTTCATCAATATCAAAGATCATGGACATGGGATGTAAATTAAAAATCACATAATTAAGTAACCAATCTCAATATTTAAAGTGTATAAATAATTACATCAGCTTACATAAATGTTTATTAAATGTATTACCTATTGATATTTGAAGACTGATTTTATTTATTAAAATGGATGTAAATACTAATTAATCATAATTGGTTAAATATTTGAACAAATATATTGTAGTAACGTTACTGAAAAGCATACACTATGCTGGACAGCTTTGAAGTATTAATAAAGTCTATACAAATAATCAAATAGGTTAACTGTAAAGTTAAATATAATGTAATTTCTTAATTATTTTAAAATATAACTTATTTTATAGAACAAAAAAAAATCAAGTTAATGTATTGAAAGAATTTATGTATAAAGAAATTAATTTTATTTTCATTATAAAGAACAAAATTAAACAAAATAAAATACACAAACTTTAGGTACTGAACTATTTCTAATAATAAAATATTATACATTACGTTATTCTTTTTTTTTTTTTGAAGCAAATTTTTCAAATCAAATTATTACTAGATTTCAGATGTAAAATATATTATATGATAAAGATGTAAAATACATAGAAACTGTTTTAATAAATATGTACTTATTCCGCCAAATCCTCAGTCTTAGTATTTTAATCATCTGGTTCTTGAGTCAATAATAAATTTGCAGCCATATTTTCATTCTTCTCACATGCAAAATATGCTTGCACTACTTGATGTTCTGGAAAACCTAATGCTTTCAACTGAAAAAAAAATAAAAATATAAGTTATTATACAAATATCATGTATTAATACACTTACTCTGTCAATTGCTTCTTTATCTTGTGTAGATACAGCGACTTCATATCCTCCTAATGGTGCTCCTCCTCTACTTGTAGCTGCAGTTGGAGTGGCGGCAGCACCTTCATTTGGTTCATTTAACATACGCACAAAAGCTTCTTGGTTATTGGATATCATTTGCAATAAAGCTGGGTTGGTCTGTCCAATCTGTTGCAATACAGAGTTTAATAATTCGGGATTTTGCTGAACAACAGAACGCATTTGTTGAAATGTTGGCTGGTTACGCAAAAAAGCTAGAGGATCATTTTGGGCAACTTGGACACTGCTTTGACTACTACCAGTAGAGCTACCTGTATCTAAAAATAAATAATACACGTGTAATATTAAAGATATAAACACCACGTAAATAATAACAATAATAAATCTTAAAAATAAAATATTTTATAGTACAAAATTTATATTAACTATGTTATCACTAGCTATTTAGCAGGATTCACACATTGTATGCCAATGTTTCGTATAATTTTATTCAACATTTTTTGATAGTTACATAAATTAGAGTATAAATCTCAAGTATCACAGGAGTGGATAACAATATCATCAAACATATGAACATATTATAAATAGAGAAAGCAACAAAAACATTTTCCCTTATATTCAAAGTAAGTTTTTTTATTATTTAGTTCTATAAAGATAGTATTTTCTCCAACAGTCATGTTATGATGAACACTACAGTATATATAATATAACAAAACCAAGTTTTAATAGACAAAAAGGTAAAATATTGACACTAGTTCAGAACTCCCCCCCCCAAAGTTCAAAAAATATAATAAATTTGTTTTAAAATATTATATAAATATAATGTTTTATTGAACAAAATAATTTATGTTACAATCTAAACAGTATGCACAAAAAGTAACAGATATAACAATATAATTTTGGCAGGAATGACTGAAATGGAAAGGTACTTACTCAGTAATGCTACTGAACTAGATTAATGTTATTAAAAAAAAATGAAGATATAAACACTCCACCAAAGAAAATTGGAGTTGTTTACAGACGGTTTAAATACATAGAAAAGGATAAGAATTTTAAGCAATCAACATAATCATTTTGAAAACAAATAATAAATAATTTAATTATAAAATAATATATTTAAATTTATTTACCTTCACTAAGTATGTTACTTATAGATTGATTTATTGATGGATCGGTTTGAAGTTCGTCAGGTATTCCAGTAAGCAAATACTCAACAGCTCTATCTGGATTGTTAAAACTAGCTCTGAGAGCACTTTCCACCTTACAATCGCAATAAAAAAATTGGTAAAAATTATAAATTAATAAAATATGGTAAACAAAATTAGGTACCAGTGATCTTTCATAACCCATATCCATAATATTTTGAACCATTCTTTCATATTCATCGTTTGATGCGGACTCTGGCACAGAAGCAGTTATTGGTATCAATGCTGGTGGCAGTGGTTGCTCTTCACTTTTAGGTTGTTCAACAGTTACAGAATCACTATATGACAAAAATTAAATTATGGAGGAAAAAAGTATAATGAACAAACAAATCTTACCTCTCTGTTGCTTTAGCAGAAGTTGAAGCAGATGCCATTGTCTTGACAGAGGTGTTAGCAGCATTAGCGGCAGCAGAAGCGGCAGTAGCAGCAGCTGTAGCAGCACTAGCAGCGGCATTAGCAGCATTAGCAGCATTAGCAGTGGAACAGACAGCACTAGTGGTGGCACTGACAACACTAGCACTAGCTGCTTTTGAAACCATAACCACCACAAATTTTTTTGTGTCAATGTTACAATCACTGATTTTAGTATCATCACTTAGTATTTTCCCTATGAAATAAATTATTCAATTAAAAATAAATAATTGTTCTTAAATTTAAAGAATCTACCTGCATAAATTAATTTTTGATTTTCTGCCAAATACTCAGATCCTTTAACTTCTTGCAATTTTTCTTTTAACTGTCTTATCTATAAAATTTAAATTAATTACTTAATTTAATTCACCAAGTGATCTTATCCCATGTTTTTTGGTTAAATTTTGCATATATTCAAATTCTGATTTTTGGAATTTTCAAATCTAGTAAAGCTGATATTTTCATAACATTTAAGGAGTACCTTATGGTGATACCAACTGTGCAAGCTTAGAGAATCACCCTGTAGAGTTTTGATTTGAAGGCACAAGGTTTTTTTTTTTAAATAATAATAGAAAAACAATTATTCTTGAAAAAAGTGTTTCAATTAATTTCTAAGATAATGGGCAAATATTATTTTTATTTTTTTTAAATTTTTTTGTGTTTCATAAAATATCAATTGATGTGATAGTTTTAAAATGTTAACGCTAAAAATCTAAAAAGCTTGTGAAGATGACATGTTGTTGATGTTATGTTTAAAATCAGTTTTATTAAAATATTTGCATTGTAAGTTTATTTGATATTTATCAACGTATCCAAACTACTTATCTATAAATTAATATCATCTTAAAGTGTAGATTCAAAAATGTTCGCCAGTTGGTAATTAACATACCATCAACATTTAGTAGAAGACAGTTTGTCTAAGTTATTAAATTATTGTAATTGCATTTTTGTATAAACTTAATACTTTTTTTTTTTTTATTGTTTATTTTGCTTTTAAATCCAAACCCTAAATATTACAAAATAATTATATTTTCATATTAATCTTTTTATTTTAGTATTATGATCAATATCAATAAGAAGAACACTAAAGGTTAACATTGGTTATATTTTAAATTAGTAAATAAAAAAAAAAATAACATAGTTAACATCAAACAAATTGATGTTAAATTTAGTTTTAAAATCAGAAGTCTTTTTTAATTAAAATACATTTTTAACCTTTTCATCTAGAAATTTATTTAATATCAAATAAGTAATGCTTTGTTTTGTTTATAATGTAATAGCAACATAAACATGTTATTAATTGTATAATATGAAGTAATTTTATTTGTGTAAATACACATTTATGAATGTGAATATTCAAGACAAAAAACTTATTTTATTAATGTAATGATAATAAATACAATTTATTAATTCATAACAAATTTGTTACCTATTTTAAATATTATTATCATAAAGGTGAACCTAGGTATATAGATTACACAAACTTTATAGCAGATAGTAATGTTATAAATTCACTATAAATTAATCGATACTAAAAAAAATATAAATTTACTAAGTACTTAATTATGATTTTAAAAATGTTTCTGGTCGTTTAAAACTTTGGTATATTTATGCAAGTTGATATGACCTTAAAATAAATTACCTGTTTATTACTATAAGTAGAATATAATATAATATTTTATAATTTGTATAGTCTTAAAAAAAATAATGTCTGTTACAAATAATATTTCTGCATATTAAAATATAATAAATGTTTTTATTTCAGTTTTAATATAATTACATTTGTATCATCAGGTAGGTAGTTAAATGAAATAGCATGCAATATGAAAAACAACCATTATTATCTTACCCAATAAATTGAACTATTATTATTTGAATTAAATCTGAATATTATATTACCGTTTGGTTCGAGTCAATTTCCAATTTGAAAGTTTGCTGTTGTAAATTTTTGAACGTGATAAGCATTGTAGATGGTTCCGAATACAAGACTAACAAGCGGTCTAAATTATCAATAGATTTTTAAAATGTTATGTTATGGTGAGAAAAACGTAAAACCGATTATAATAAGTCGTATACAATTAATCATTAATTAAGTTTATTCCTTTTCAACTTATTTAAAATACCAAAAATTATCACTGACAATTATTTTCTTCGTCGTGAATCGTGATGTGATTGAAGGTGCAGTTGTTAAAAGGTACAAAGGAAACATAACCTAAACCAAGTTACGGCGCATGGAACAAAAAAAAAAATGTTTTTTCTAATCAACTAGGTTAATTTTTTTGCTAAGAACAAAGTCGTTTGTGGTCGATAACTTCAAATATTTTCAAATTGCAAAATAAATTCTCCTTGATTCTCGATTAAACTTTTTGAATCGAATACAGAATATGTAATATGATTATCATTGATAAAGTAATAAAAGTACGATGACGACATAACTTCGGTTTAAATATATCTGAAATTTTTACATGACGTCATACAGTTCATGAGCTCGGATCATATTATCATGTATTTACACCTAAACAACTGTTACATTTTATCACTGAGTGACTAGTGCTTTTTCAAATAATATGGCCAACATTATCATCTACGCACGCGCGTTACAATCATTAAATCTCTCAATATACAAACCAGAAAAAAATATATTAAATTAAACATTGATAGTTTTTTTTTCCATGAATATTAAACCGCAAAGTTTAAAATTATTTTTTATCTTGAATGAATCAAGCTAACAGTATATTGGAAAATAAACGGGGGGGGGGGGGAAATCTTCCACTGGATCTGCCATTAAATGTATTTGTAATACTGTTTGTTACACAAATTCAAATAAATTGAATCTGATAAAAACAAATAAGTAATGTAATTTAAAAGTTTTTATTTAAACATATACCTATATTGAATTTTAACATAAAAACTGAATACATAATGATTGTTCAATGATAAATGCAGTGGCGTACTCAGACCTGAATTTTGGGAGGGGGGGTTTTAATTTTTAAATTGTTTTCAAATTGGACCTAATTGGACCAAAACATATCGCACATTTTAATAGACTACTAATTTTTATTCGGGTTTTTTTAATTGACATGTCATAATAAAATGTGTATTGAAGTCTGAAATAAATACTTATTACTAAGCCATACGTATTTATAAAAAAAAAATGTTAAATAATAAAATTAAAAAAAAGTAATAATAATAATAAATTAGATAATTTTTAAAACATTAACTTTCTATCTTTTTCTGAAAAAATATCGACCACCTCACTACTTTGGGTTGGTATTTCTCTGTAGATACTTAGGTGAGCCAATCCATTAAGTCGATTTTCCCCCGTAGAATTCCTCAAATATGATTTCAATCGTTTCAACGTTGAAAAGCTCCGTTCTACACTGGCAACTGTAATGGGCAACGNCAATAGAACTTCTTTATTTACAATATTGTCACACGAGCTTATTACGATTGGCCACTGTTTTGATATAATTTCCGTACTTGTCTCGATTTCATTTTCGGATAATTTTATTAGTTTATTTGGTATAAAGTTCTGAATAATTGAGAGTGTATTTTTGTGTTTAGTAAATCTAATATCTAATTGTGAGATGAAGTGGTCAATAAACGGGATGAACACAGATACTCGATAATAGTTTTCTGCTGAAGTTGACTCATAATTATCTCTGTGCTGTTGAAATTTTGTCATCCTTGGAATTTTGATTTCCTCTCTGATTTCTTCAGCAAGTTGTTCAGTTGTGCTAAATAAATCGTGGAATTTCGACTGTACATTGCCACGCATTTCCTTCATCAGCATACTTAAATTATTAGCAGTCTTCATTGCAGATGCTAACTCAACATTAACTTTTTGTAAATAGATTGATAGTGGGTGAGCCATAGAAAAAATTGCTTCTATTCGTGATAGATGGTCTTTTAAAGTATTGTCTCCTGAAACTGCACGAAAACGCAACTACGCACGGAAGTTTCCGTCATTATAGGCTGGAAGTTCCGATGATATTGGACCTGAATCACGATGACCTCTTAAGGCAATTTCTTGCCTTCCAGTTAAAATTATTGTTTCAATAATAGATGATAAAATTTTCCGATTTTGTTCGATTGTCGCCAAACGGGCTGTATTAAGCTGAAGGCTAACATCAACGATTCTTTTTTCGTGTACACCTATGAAATTCTGAGCAATAATACAAGCAGTTTTATGGTATTCTAAATTTGTGTGATAACGGAATTGCTCTTTTGCATCTTTCCAACGATTGAATGGAGTCACTACGAGGGCCTTTGTGGAGATATGACTTCCTTTTCCCACTTCTCTAGAATAAAATAAAAAACAGAATAGGCAAAAAGCGCCGTCTAATTTTTCTGAATATGAAAGCCAAGGGAATTCCAGTAACCAGTGTCTTTGGAATTTGAGTTTTCTTGNAACTCATTTGGTATCCATTTTTCAAAAGCTTGTACTTTTCATCTTTATTAATCGTTTTTCCCCCATAGGTACCAATATCAGAATCATAAGTTTTCGAGTTTATTTGTGTACTGGTACTAGCTGCTGACTCATTTAAACCTATTAAGTATTAAGTATTAATAATAGTTTTATTCTATAAGAAGAATAAAATAAATAATAGCCTTACCTGAACTAATTTCATTTATTTCTGATCTCTTAAAGTTTGGATCGTTGTTATAATTTGTATCATGTTGGTCTCTACTCTCTACATCAAGTTTAGGTTTTTTTATTATCCACTTATCCATTGTTAATGTATTTTTAAAAAAAATAAGTTTTAACAACGTACTTGTCGTAATTTCGTTTGTCACTAAGTTTAATGGTTCAATGGCTAACACACTAGGCGATTAATCGCACAAAATAAAATACGTGACGGCGATAATACCGATTACCGATAATGCCGATTACACCGTTCGTTCACGTCCATATCTACAATATTTTTGTAGAAATACTTATATTCCCGTAAGTACCCACATTTTATTAAAATAGAATAGAATATTCTAAAATCAATGGCTGTATCATTTAATATTTATATAAGAATTTCATAGAACAATAATTGTACGCTGTTTATTTTATTATGATAGATAATTTGTTATAGGTACCTAAGTTGCTAAGTACAATACAATTAATTATAAGTACCATGCATTTTAGTTTTCTCATATAATAAATAAATTCATAAGTTCTAAAAATTTCGGGGGGGGTTTGATCCCCCCCCCCGTTAGTACGCCACTGGGTAAATGTACAATAATTCTAAACAGTATATTTTGTGTAATTATTTTTATTTAATGGGGGGTATATAATCAATGGTTTAAATTAATATTGATTTTAAATTTTAACTAACTTAATAGAGATCAAATAGATAATAAATTAAAAGTAAAATATTAATGCAATATTTTAATGATACAATGAACAAAATAGAACTACAATTACAACAGTTTTTATATTATATTCAAATAAACATTGCAAAATAAGATAAACAAAAAACATAAAATATTTTAGCCTTATACAACGAAGTATATTTCATAATGAAATGCAAATATTTTTTTATTAGTCATAATGTTTTGTAATGCATTTTTTTAAAATTGTAAATGTTAAAAAATACATACATTTTATACCTATATTATTAATCTAAAAATAAAATAATAATACTAAACTCATCAATGGAGAAGATAATAATTAGTTTACGCTCATTACACTATTATATTAAATAAAATAATGATTTAATTAAAAATAAATCTTTAATAGGAATTTTCAAGAATACTTCTAATTTTATTTTTTTATTGTAAAATAATATAAAATAATGGAACCCAAATACTAGCGTTTATTAAATTATAATAAATTGTACATACATTAAATTAACTTATAAGTAACATTATTCAAGAAAAAAAAAATGTATTATTACTTGAACAATAAACTATATTTAAAATAAATAAATACAATTATGTAAGCCTTTAAATGTTAAACATACTACATATTTATAAAATATTAAATGTCTCATTAGCAACCATAAATAAATATAATGTGACTAGACATCTAATTAAAGATAAGATTGAACGTTTATTCGACCAATTTGATACTGAACTTGTGTAGAAGAACCTATAACACAATATTATTATGAAACCCTATTATACAATTCTTAAGAATAATAATCAATATATTATTATGTATTGCAATAACTGTTGTTGACGAAATCATAAGCACAATTAGAATTCAAATTCTTGGAGGTACTTATCTTACCTCAGGTACTTATGAACCAATTTTTACAGAGCTCTTTCTACACTACGTACATAATATATCGAAAATTACTAATTAAAATAACTTTTATTAAACATGCATAACAAAATAATTTAATATAAATAAAGTTATAACCATATTTGTGTAAGTACACTAAATGCTAATGACTTTTTAAAAAGAACAAATTATAAAATTTTAATATTTAATAATTTTAATATCAACAGTCTTTAACTGATAAATTGTATACTGAAATTTAATTAAATTAGTAATTGTACATTAAGATTTTATATTTAGGGGCTTTAACTTTAAATGATCTATAATAAAACAAAGAGACAAGTAAATACCTCCAATTTATTGTCTAGTAGCACCAAGACACTTAATTCAAGTCTTATAATTAATTTTAAATATTTTGTTTTTCATATTAACAAAATGATCTAATTTTATTAAGACAAAAATCAATTATATATTATACTTAAATCCCAATACAAATTACATCTTAATTATGTATTGATAAATGTCATCAAACATAGTTACAACTACTTTATATTTAAGAAATATATATTAATCTTAAACACACTAACTTGGATTTGTTTACAGTGTAAATATATCCAGTGCCAGTGCTAGGAGAGGACAAATAGGACATTAGTCCAGGGCTCAACAGTTGTTTTGGTTTTAATGGGCCCCACAGTTTGTATTTTACTTAAAATTATCGATATAATATTTACACTTAGACAGTATATTAATATAATTTATAATTAATTTTAATTTTAAAAATAATAGTTATTCAGTTTACCAATTTGTTTATGGCGTATATCAGTGCCAATAGGAACATTTTCTGGAATGAATACCGAGACTAACAATGCACACATAACAAGAAGTGAACCAAAGACAAACGGTGGTCCAGGAATCATCTAAAAAGTTTCAAATGACAACAACAGTTATTGATTGATAAAATATAGCAGCAATTTAAAACTAATACATAATAATATTTTACTTAATATTTATGGTTTATATAATATATATATATGATTAATAAAATTACCGACAAAGATGGATCATTATTAACATTATATTTTAAATGTTTAATAATAATTGAACTATTAACTGAATGATGAGTTGTATGAGTAATTTGCATTCCTTCATTTAAATTAACATTAAATAAATAAAATATAAATCCAAACATTGCCGGCCCTAATCCACCACAAAGTCCTCTTACTCCTGTAACAACTCCTTGAACAACACCTTAAAAATACAATCATAATTAGTATCATTTCAAAGTTAATTATTTTCTTTTTAAACCTTGCTTATCTGCATCAGAATGTATAGACACAAATGAACTAATAGCAGGATATGTAACACTTGAAATAGCAGCTAGAAAACAGGCTGACCACATGACCCTAAAATAAAAGTATTAACTGATATTAATAAATAATAATATAAATATATATAAACAACCTTAAATATAGAAAATATAGTGTACTTTCACTTTGTGAGTTTCCAAGATCAGGAGTGATCAAAAATTTAATCATGACATGAGTTTGAATCAATTGAGACTCCCTTTCATCTTTTTTCCTATCAATGTTTAGCTTTGTTTAACCCATGAATATAAAAATTAACTATAATTACACAATTCAAACAGTTACAAATAATATTATTGATTTTAGAAATATATAACGCATCAAAAACAAAATTATAGATATTGAGTAGCTCATGCACAGTGTATGTAATATGGCAGATATTCCATATTGACTTCTATTCGCGACTTTCATTATGTTTATATGAATCGAACCAGCCTAAAATGACCGCAAAAATTATATATAATATACGATTCTAATATTATGTAATCTTTATAAATAATCTCTGAACTATCACATATTAAAAATATATTAAGTTTATTGTATAAAACTGTCAAATAAAGTGATTTTTAAATTTTAAATAAAATAAGTGTATCTATTATATATATTTTTGTTTGATTGTGATAACCTAGGAAAACTCAACGATTAATCGACAAATTTATTATGTGAGCCACCTCTGGTCTAAATAACATAGATATTCAGTATTTGCGTAATATATAATATATATATATATATATATATAATTATGTTAAAATTAAATATTAAATTTGAATAAAAATATAATATGTTATATAGACTAGATTAGGGGGCATCATATACAATTTTAAAGATATTGGTTGAATTAGGTGATCATTTTTATTATTATTGAACCTGGAAATTGTTGGATAGCCACAATTTTTTTTCATGGCAGGTACAAAATATTTATTTAAAGACCTATTATGTTACAATGTATGAAACAGGCAAAAATAATTTTTGCACACAAAATAAGTTTTTATCATGAAGAAACAGATTATACACACCATGTTTCTGAACCAAATCCAAACCACATAAGCTGCATAATTTCAAAAACCAGACCAATCATAATTGTATATTTAGCTCCCATCATTTTCATTATAACACCAAGTACAGATTGAATCGCTGCTGAAAACAGTCCTAGTAATGCAATAAGTATTGACACTTTAAACATGCTAAATCCCATTACCTATATAAAAATTAGTAATTATATTATTGGTTATATAATAAGTAGTAGAGAAATATTTTTTGTTTAAAGGTTAAGTCTTAACTCTAAATAACTATTTTAAATTGTAAATTTAAATAAAAAATATTAATACTATTAATAGGTACTTAATAAAATATAAAAGTAATATCATTGAGTATAAATGTACAATGAAGGTAATATAATATATAATTCTTAGGATTGGTGAAAGAAGGGACAATTTAAAAATAAAAAATTTAAACAAAATTAATTTGGAATTAAAAAAAATTATTTGTTTATAAAAACCTAACTTAAAGTCCATAGTTATAGTAAATTTTTTCCACTAAGTCACTGAATTATAATTTAAAACAAAAGTTTAAAAAACTAGTAAGTGTCCTTTCTAACAATGATTTTTTATCAGAATAAGTATAACAATTTACACAAAAATACTTGAATACATTTATTACCTCATTGATAAGAAAAAAAAAAATTATAAGAACAATACTTCCTAGCTATGATTAATTAAGAAATACATACAAATATATATCTGGTAATAATAAAAACATTGCTACCAAAGTATGTCTGATTTAAACTCAAAAACTATTATTATTATGATTTATTAATTCATAAGACTTACAAGTCTTAAATACACAAATAAAGACGAGTATTCTCCTGCTTCTGGTAAATAAGATAAAAATACTGTTAAGCACAATATCAGTATAGTTCGATCTCGACCAACCATTCTTAAAGCCTGACATTAAAAAATTATAAAATGTTTATATTAAATATAAATGTAGGTATTGAAAATAATAGCGAAAATTACACTCGTTTTGATTACTTACTACAAAAGGATCTGCCTTTTTCCAAGATATACAATTATTAGAAGTTCTTTGTTTATATGGTAGACTTTCAGGCACAACAAACAGAATAAAAAATACATTTAAAAGTGCTATAAAGGAAGCTAAAAGTACAACAAAGGTAGAGTTGAAAATTTCCATAATATATGAACCCAGAGCAGGTCCAAAAACCATACTAGCTCCAAATGTCCCAGTAATCTAGAAAAAACACCTTATTTTAGAAAGTATACACGTTTATAATTTATACATATTTAAATATATACCCAGCCATAATAACGACTTCTATCTTTTTCATCACTGACATCTGCTACATAAGCAAATACAACAGAGAATGTAACAGAAAACAATCCAGAAATACTTATTAATGCGAAAAACCACCTAAAAATAATAATATATGACTACAATATAATATACTAAATAAACTCAGTAAAATTATATTTTAAATATTACCCAGAATCAATACACATAAAAGGTATTGGAATACAAGTAAAAAATACTGTCAATAAAAGAAACAATTTTCGTCCCCAAACATCAGATAAAGCACCAATTAACGGCGCACTTAAAAATGATAGAATACCCTAAAAAAAAATTGGTTAATAATTAGTTAAAAGTCTCTACTGGATGGCAATCTTTTTATTAAGGTAAAAGATAAAAAAAAACGATTATTAAAAAAAAATTTAACAAAAATATGGTCTCTTGTTTTTAAATTGGAGCCATATTAGCTAGAAAAGTGGTAGGGATTTATTTTAAATAACAAAATTCTGAAAAAAATCATATTTTTTTTCCGTTAATAGTTTTTAATTTTATTTTAAACACTGTTTCAAAACTCAAAAAATGACCTATGAATTTACCAATTAAATAAAATTGACTTTCAGTAAAGGTACTACACTTATACATCAGAGCAAGTTTTCTAGTATAAAAGTGGTCTATAGTATATATATATATATATATAAAAAATAAAGTACCATTATAAAAAAATTTAAAAAATGAAAAAAAGTGGTCTGATCATTTTGGAAATTTTACGTCTAAGTAAATCCAATATAAGTATTATTATCAAGTTTCAAGTCTCTATGTGTATTTATAACTGAATTACAGCAAAAAACTCCTTAAAAGCTCAAAATTAGTTCAAAAGTTTTGATGATGATACCGTAAAAAAGTAAATCAAAAAGGCAACAATAAAGGTAACTTGTGATATAGCGATAAATCATTTTTTCTAGTTGAAAACGTTGTCTATGATTTTATAAAATAATGAAACCGTGAAATAGTACGTTTTTCTACATTTTTTCCCCATTTAAGTGCTTTTATTCATCAAAATGATATCTTTAAGTTCTAGAGAACTTGAGCTTTCAGAAAAGTTGCTATACATAAAAATCAAAGCAAGTTTACTAGGAAAAAAGCGTGTCTACAAACTAAAACAAAGAAGAAGAAATAAACACCATTGTAAAATCAATAGCTCCCTCGCTATGCTCAAAATCTAAAAATGAATTTATTTATTTTGAATCTCTTAATAATTCAATGTAATAACAAAGGTGTACTTTATTTGTTATATATAATATAATATAACAAAAACCAACACAATAATGTGTCTGGTTTCTTTAATATTGATACATTTTATTGTAGCCTATTGTCTTTTCTTTGTGTGGGCCATAGATTGCCAACCCCGGGTTACATACTTCATAATGATTTATTTGTATACCTACCTTTATACCCCAAATAATACCATTCATCAGTAGAGCATGATCTTGGAATGTGTTGTTTAATTTCTGTAAAAATATATTTATATTATAAAATAATAAAACAGTATAATAGTTTTCTATAGTCTATACTTACTGATATGACTGGCAAAGTTAGTAAACTCCAAGCAAAATATTCTAAGAATATTATGACTAATGCATGATAAATTGATGGCTTTCCTATTCCTGATTTCTAGAAAATTAAATAAATATTTAATCAGTGGTACATTTACATGGGGGTCCAACCCCCAACATGCATGGATTAATTTTAATAAAATATTATCTAAAATCAGACATCTTGGCATTGAAAATAATACCTTCCAAATAAATATGATTTCCCAGGACCCTATGTTCCAGAAAAATATTTAAAATCCACAACTGTATACAGTATTTCATAATATTAATATTATTTATATAATTATAAGCAAATATTTATATATTTTTTTTATTGAACTTTATAAAAAACAATTGGTTATAAAAATTAATATTTGTATAGATGGTAATCAATGGTTACAATTAATTAAAACAACAAGAGGAAACAAATTACAATACATTAAAAGAAAAATTGTAGAACTTATTAAAACAGGGAGAATTATTTTGAGGGATAAAAGAATGACAATGAAAAAAAATGTGGGATATAATATCACAGATCAATTTAGTGAAATGAAGAGTGCATAGAGGCAAGTTATTTAGAAATAGCTTGTAGAAATGGAATAATAGTAGAATATAGTAATTTTAAGTATGAAAAAAATGAAATTGTTTTTCTACCAAGTTTTAAATAATGAAACCAAGGCCTGGAGGGTAACATTGTTGAAATAAACTATAGCAGGTGGCAAAATTAGGAGACAAATTATACCATTGATTTAATCCAATATATTAATGTGGGTTATACCTTTAAAAGTTTAAAATTTTAATTTTTAAGATTTATTAACCAAATCAGACTAAAAATAAACAACATTTATATTTTAGAAATGAAATAAAATATTTTAATTGTTAATATATCTATTTGTATTTATTTTGACATTGGGTATTTGATTTGTTAATTTAGTAATATTTACATAAACAAAACTGTTGTATATTGCTCAAGAAAACATTTACACACAAAATTTGTATTCAAATTTTGTACAGAAAAATTCTTTGTGGACTATGTATTGTTATTTATTACAGTTATAATTTTAATTTTATAATATTTCTTTTTTAAATTTTCAATCTTGAAATTAAGTTTTTAGAAATATCTACTGAACATTGAATTCACGTCAGTTTACATAATTAAATTAACTTCATACATGATTATGAGAGTTGGTCGGGAACTCAACATTTTTTTTTGTTTTTTTAAACTATGACGTAGGTACTTAATGACTTTAGTGCATTCAAATTTTAAATGTAATTATATTTTATTTCTAAATTATAAAAATGAATTAAAGATTTTAAAATAATGTTTTCACTTGGAAAATATCAAGCTTTTTGTTTACCATAAATATTCCGTCGTTTAGAATAGATCTTTGACTTCGAATTACGATACCAGACATCCTTTTGTTTAGTTTCATTTTTGAACCCATTTCGAAACGTGTTTCATGCTTTTTTTTTTCATTAATCGTTGGAAAATAATGTTCCATTTGGAAAACAATTTATAGTTGGCAGTTCAAGCAATATATAATTAAGTTTATGTCATTATTATTAAAATCGATAACAAATACTAAACAATAACTATCGGATACTTTTCATGTAATACAGTAATCCAAATTTATTAATGATTAGTGGTAATAATAATAAGTTTTGAAATCGAATAAAAATTGCATTTTTCAATAATTATGATTTCTAATAAAATATTATTGATTAATCATCATTAAACCATAACTTGAAAGGTACTAAGCTTATAAGCTTTTAGACTGAATAGAGAATATTTATTTCTTATTATTATCAGTAGCTGATAACACATATCAAATAAAATAACCGAAAATTTACCATTGGTACGGTTGTACACAATTGTGGTTATTAGTGAATTATAATTTTATCAACAAAACGGTATTTCTTTTTGTTCAAACATAACGTTGCGTCGTTACTCGTTACTTACTGGTACTGGTTCATTGAGTGTTTTTTTTATATTTATGCAACAGCAGGTTGAATTTTGTTCTAATTGAAATTACATTAAATTTAGACTATTTTATTATAAAATTGTGTTACAATGCTGCCAGACTTTTTGTGTCGACCTCTTATGTAAGTTTTAAATCTAAATAATATGTTTCTTCCTTATTTTAAAACACCCAATAATATTTTTTTGACTCCTATTTTTTAATTAATCATGTATAATTTTGGTATTTTATATATATATATATATATATGTAGATATATTGATAAACTTTGTTTTCTTGATTAGGTAGCTATTATTAGTAACTATTATTTATTTACAGTATGTTATTTGGCATATTATATCCTGGTTATATGTCGTACAAAGTGCTCAAAACAAAGCGATCAACCAATTATGTAAGTTCAATTATTTAAATAAATAATATTTAGTTAATAAGGTTTTATTTAGTCATACTACATTTATAATTATGCACATATTTTAATTATTTTTTGTTGGTTCCATTTAAAATATCTATCAAATTGGATACCATATGTTTCATCTATGAAAATGTATTTATTGGTGTGTACCTATACATTTATAAATACCATTTTATAAATTTTATTATTATAGAGCAGTATAATTAAATAATTATTTAATTTCTGTAATTTAAATCAATGTATTCAACTAATTATGGAGATAACTAGTAAAAGAAAGGAAAATTATTAATAATATTTATTGAAATTGAAATACTGAAGTGTACCTACATGAAAAATATTAAGATAAAATAATGTTTAGAATTAATTAGTTGGTTTAGGTTAGAAAAATAAATGCATTATTTACGAACAAAAGGAAATTCAATACATGCACAATCACGAAACATAAATAAGTCTTCCATTGTTATATTTATTTTATGTTGTGCAATATTTGCAAAATTAAAATTTAATCAAATATTTTCTAAAAATATAAAATAGATATCTACATACATGCAATAATACCCTTCTGTAATTCTAATATATTTGCATACACCCATATGCAATGTCCAAATACATGATATTTTAAGTACTTTTTTATAATACAAATATTTTTTTGTTATTAAATACTGTACTAAGTTGCTATATTAATATTAAATATTTGTGTAATTCAGGGCATATGGCTAATGTATTGGATAACATTTTCCATGTTTACTTCAGTAGAAACCATAACAGACACATTGATTGCTCCTTGGTAAGTTATTTTAAAATATTAATATAAAAATCAAATCAATTTAATATTATCAAAAGATATATTTAAAAATTTTAATTTTAATATAGACAAACTTTCTAAATACATTTTATTTTATAGTAGTTTATATTATTTATAATTATTGCAGGTTGCCGTTTTATAATGAATTGAAGCTTTTGTTTCTTTATATGACATATCCAACTTCGGACAGTTCCCTGACTTATGTGTACAAAAATATTATAAGTACTTTTATTAAACGACATGAAAAGGTGAGTTGTCAGAGTTATGTAGTATATTATGCTTTGTAAAATACATTTAATAATTAATATGCAAGATTAAAATATTTGTGAGTTTTACTTATTAAAATTCATAAATAATATTTAAAACTAAAATAACTTGTGTAAGAATTATAAGAAAAACCATTAATGTTGATAATTTAAATTCAAATTATTGGTATATTAATATAAATTATTTTTAAAAGTAAAAAACGTTCTTTACGTCCAAAAAAAATTCTTAAATAAATTGTTTTTTTTTTTTTTTTTGTGATTTTACAGGACATTGATGCTCAAATAAATAGTTTTAAAAACGGTGGTTTACAAACATTGATGGGAACTGGAAAAAAATTTACCAACATTTTATTGAACTATGCTATAAAAGCTTTTTTAGCATATGTAAGTTAAAATAATTATTTATCTTGTAAAAATTATTTACAAAACTATTATAATATTATTTGTAACATTTATTATTTATTTGGTTTAAAAGGGAATACAAATAGGTCCATTACAGAATATTAAACAGAGTAATACTGTAACTTTGGTTGAAAGCAGTGAACCAGATGGCAATGTTAATTGGGATGAATATTTTGTTGACTCTGAAGAATTTGATTCTGATTCTAGTTCTTCAAAATCAGTATCTTCTTTAGCTCACGAAGAACCGGATTATCATTTTTCACACATGTATGGAAACAATAAGACAAAAGATGATAAATTAACATATGATCCTCCAGCTTCTAATACACGAAGAAGGAAAAAAGTTCCATGAAAAATAGAAAACTACATTTAAATTCAAAATTGTTATATTATATTGAAGAATTTTATACATTTATTTTAAACAAATTGTAATTTCATACGTTATTTTTGTATAATAAACTGTAATATTTGATCTCTTTCTTTATTAAATAAAAAAAAAATTATATTACTTATACACCATACAAGTATTTAAGTTGATTTTTTTTATTATTTTGTTGCCTAATTATTCATTAACAATAATGGGTTGTACCTATCTAAATGTATTTTATATTTCAAACAGGGTTCCAATTCAAATTATAATTTAACTTAGACTAATATAAGATTACATTTGTATGAATATTGCCGATATTGATCACAAAAGATAAAATTAATTTCTTAAGAAATGCATAAGAGTAATATTAAATAGAGATATGTTTCTTAAAAATAAATGGGTCAAAGTAGTGAATGAGATTGAAATCGCCAAATTATAATCCATTCAATCATATGGATTACACTTAATGTCATTTTTTGAACCAGATCCTCTTGTTGATCTGATCTGAATGGATCAAATCAATAATTATTGAATGAGTCATAATTCCTATCACTAAACAATATCAACTTAACAATATAAAGAAAATCTCGATGCAACAAATGAAACAGTCGGTCCCTTGAAAATTTCATGAAATAACGAAAAATTAAATGTGTTATTGTCCCCTTGATAACAAAGTTATTTTGGTCAGAGCCCTTGCAATGTAACAAATTAATACAATTTTAGAGCTTGATGTTCCGAGTTTTTCTTTTTTCTTTATACATATGTATATAAGATTATAAGAAACATGTCTACTGACTGTTAAAGAAAAATATAAAATATAAATAAATTACTATTATTGCTTGCTACTACAGAGATTTTTATCATGCTTTAAAGATATTGATGATGAAACATCTGATGAGCGCTCTGTAACCTCGAAGGGAGTAAAATCAGGTCTCCGTGCCATATTGAGTTATTTACAAGACATGATATTGATAACAGTGTATTTTGTAACATTTTAAATTTAGACAACGCTATTGGCTGGGTAAGTGCAAGCAGCTACAATAAAAAAGAAAAACTGATTTTTTGAATTTTTCAAATTTAAAAAAGTTTTTTTATTGTTTTACTTAGTACTATTTTTGGTAGAAAATATAAAACTTAAACATTTAAAATAATGAAATCACAACGTAGTTATTATTTTATCAGTTTTCGTTTTTCAAAATTATTAAATTTCTTTAATACAATTTCTTTTTTTTCACTAATTCAATTTATTTATTAGATTTAGGCCCAATTCTTACAATGTCCGGTTAAGTGTTAGTTAGCGCTAACCGGTAGTTATACTGAAATTTAACCTACAGTTGGTTCTTTCATACGTTGATTAAGGAAAAAGTTTCCGGTTACCACAGGTTTTACGGTGGAATTTTTAACCAATGGAATTTTGCCAGCTATCCTCTGGTTAAGTTAAAATATCTCGGATTGTATTTCGCCGTTAGGTAACCGATACTTTTATCGCCACTTAACTGGACATAGTAAGAACGACCCTTAAATATTAAATTTATTTTTTAATTTGTATCATTTAATATGAATGTTTACTTTTTTTTTACACAGGTTTTTCCTCTACCTCGTTACCAGTGATTATAACGCTGATATGTTAATATTCTACTAAATACCACCCTAAAAGATCAGGGTTACTCAGGTCGAGCGTATTTATACTATTCTAATACTTACTGATTGTACTTGGAATAAATTATATCGTTGTTCGCAAGTTTACCTTTGACCTCTAAATATAACCATTATTTATATTTTAACTGACAGCAATCTGTTTTCACAATAATTTCTTACTACTGCCACCATTTATTAAGAATAGGCAATAGGAGCCAAATTGGTTCCCGTTTAATATCTAAATTTATACATATAGTACATTTTTAAACCTTTAGTTAACTTTTATCATACTACGTATTTTGTCAAGGTAATTAAATAATGTTATATTAGAGTATTTCGATTTAATCGGTCAAAATATCGCAATTGATTAAGATAGGTCCAGGAAATCTTCTACCATGGAGTAGAAAGACTGTGAGCTACAAGCTGAAGCTAACGAAAACTAATCGTGTCTGACGCAATTCTGGTCTCGAGATGGGATCTCGGAAGGGCCGCAGAATAGATCCTGAACATCATTGGGAGTGATGCTAACCACCAACTAACGTCTTGATTAGCTGATGGCAGAGTTCTCAATGAGAGCATTCAAAAATCGTTTTTTTCGATGTCTTCAAGGAAATGATAGCACAAACACTCAGCGTCCGAAGCACGCCCCATGCGACACACGTAGTGTCCTTGGGGTAATCGTGACCAAATGTAATCTGCGATAAGTGGTAGGTTAGATTCTTTGGGTGTCTCGTTAACCGTCTCCTTATATCTTTCAATATCTTACGAGTTGAGACCGTCTTGTTTTTGCGGCTCCAACTATTTGACCAAGCAGCAAGCAGGATGTCACGCTCGTTTCTTTAGATCTTCGTGGCCGACTCGGACCTGTCCGGGTCATCCATCCTTAAGCAAATTTTCTTTCTCTCAAGGGTGAGGAAATCTTCAGGGGGAAAGCCTGACGAGAAAAAGAGCCGAGTCAGCGATGATTTTGTGGTATGCCCGAGTTACTCTGAGCACCGCGGTTCGTTGAGGTTTGGGAATGGCTTTAAGACAGATGGCGTACTCGGTCACTCTGTCAGTCCACGTCCAAACAACACACAGAAGCCTACTGCTGTCTATGGACATCAGAAGATTTTTTTTGGACTGAGTTAGGCCTCGTAACATATAACCTAGAGACTTTTATTTATATCAGTCCAATGGCCCGTACCAAAAGGCCGGTTAGTGTAAAAGGATTAGCCAACCAACTGCTCCAACTAAGTGGATAGGATTAGGTAATAAATATCAACAGCCCTATAGCAAAAATCCTTCGTAAACTAAGGAGGCATGTTGCATCTTAATAAAATTATAAATTTGATATATTATAATTTGTTAATATAAAACAAACGATTTTATCAAAATGTTTACTTAATTTTCAACATAAATATCACAACAATGGTACCTAACAGTACTATTTACAAATAAGTTAAAAGATTTTAAATTAATAAATAATAGTATCAATCTACAATATAAAATTTAAAAATAAAAAATTGCATATACAATTATTTAGGACCCTGAAACGTGTTTAAACCTAATTAAAAAAAAAAAATAATAATAATAATAATTATAAAGATAAAATAGAATTTTACAAGATAAAATGTGTCTGTAACAATATATTAAAAGTATTTTACTCGATAGTAGATAAGTTACAGTTTTCTTTTTTGCAAATAAATAAAAATTAAATAAATACGATATCTGAAACTGTACCAATAGTTGCTGAGAATGCATACGTAATTGGGAGAATCAGTTTATCGGCTTAAGTGTATACCTAAATGGTCTTACAATGGGTCTATTTTGTGTTTGTGGTTTCCGTTGACTTAACATATCAATCATGGAAGGCATAGGTTTGGATCGCATGGCTATGAATTCTTCTGCATCTTCGTCTTTGGGTAGAGGTCGTTGTGAGTCGCCGGGTACAGGTCGACCATCAGGCATTACTCTAACTACCATGGGGCCGATTATATAACCGCCCGGTGGTGGAGCTATTTCTTCAACGTTATTCGATGCAGATCCCAAATCATTTCCACCACTCGTTTCTAACATTATTAATAAACATATAAATTTAATTTAATGCTTAAAAAGTTATAAAATTATGTGGACAATGTTTGGATAATATACTGGACATGTCTAATTATAATATTTACCTAGTGGGTCGGCGAGGTCTTGTTCGGATTTGTTGGTTGCTTGTGAAGTAAAAAAACCACCTTTCATCATAGATTCCCATACTAAAATAAATAATGTGAATAAATAATATTGTTTCATTTTATTTTATAAAATATATGTGTATTTTACACATTGTATGTCAGTTACAAACAATTTTCAACATATTATTACTGTGTTATTCAAAATATAAATAGATATACATACTCATTGTTCTTGATCCTCTTTGATAAGGGTCCATTTTATCTAAACTTTCATCTCCCATTTTTGCCAAGTTAGTTAAACCATAAACCAACAATACTTTATTGCAGTCTAAAAGCAAAATAAAATTGTAAAATCAATACATATATATAAAATTAAAATAATAGGTAGTAGGTATGCACCCGATAGAAATTATATCTAAAGTAAAAGTAGTAATTATCTACGCAAATTAAAATATAAATTGTTATTTGTAAAACGTATAATAATTAGGTAGATCCAATGCCGGAAAGTTATTTGAGACAATCGTGCTAAACATTAACCGGTCCAATCAATATCTAAGGAGTACCACCATGCCTGATAGAAAATTTGCAAGTTTTAACCCCTACCATGAAAATTCAGGTCTATGTACCCACGCTATTATCAATCGACCTCAATGGCTCCAATTAATATCACAAGAAAAACATGTAATCTGAAAAACAATTGTTTAAAAAATATGCAGGTTGCAACACGAGAGTTTGATGACCAATAAGAAAAAATAAAATATTCCATTATTTTCACTTTTTAGTTTTAGAATATTTGTTTTAAATCGCAAATTATGACATTATTATTATCGCCAGTACCGTCTCAACTTAATAACTAAACTAACGACCCTCCGTGACAAGCACAATGGGCGTGTAACATTTGCACATCACTATTGTTATTTTCGACCTTTTTCATAAGACATTTGTGCGCCCATCCGCACTGTTAAATGATTGGGTCGTACATTATTTGCATATCAACATTTTTAACAATAAGAGGTTTAAGGGAATTAGGAGTACCTAAAATTGCAAATTTCAATCTAAATTTCAACTTAACATCCAATAATAATAATTTTTAAATTATTAATATTATACTAATTATTTTATTTTTGTACTACAATATGATATATTTAAAAAAATAAACAATTTAAGTGTTTATAATTATTTGTATTTTATATATCAAACTAACGATATCGTAAATAAACGATAGTGACTTACGTGGTGAAATGTCTCGCGATGAATTACAATCCGAAATAAAGCGTTTAGCGTTTACATACTTAACGTTTGTATTATATGAGTTCTTTATGAGTGTCCTATTTTTTTATTATAGCTATTTAACTTTGAATATACGTAGTGAAACATTATACACATTTTTGTTTGTTTTTTATTTTTAAATCTAAGAGTATAGTTGTTTAATGCGAGTCCATCATATTATTATTGTTTTGTAGGTACAGGGTTCTTATATTGCATGGAATATTAATTTATCATATAAAAAGTCAATAGGTATACATGCTTTTTGAAGTTCCTATACCTACTTAAATCAGATAAATTACTAGGCTAAGAACTGTTTAAAACCTACCTAGTAAAAGTGGAATAATTTTTATATATTCAAATGATAAACGATAAATTCGTATATAATTAAATACGCATTAATAAGTTAAAAGTACATTAAATATTAAAGATTAATACAAAAAAAAAATTGAATGAGTACCTAATGCAATAAGCATATTGACTTATGGTATTGCTGTATTAGGGGCTTTAATAGGTATATAATTATTTATGTTTTTATATGAATAAGCTATTAAAGTATTGACATAGTATAATAATATAACTTTCAGAGCATATAGGAAGAGGAAGAACAAGAAGCGTAAAAAAACATTAGATACCTGTATATCAATAAATCAATTAATATGATGATTGGAAAAATAGTACCTAAATACTGTAAGAGTACGAGTAAAAGGAAATTAATTTTATCTTTTTATATGAGCGGTAGCCGTGACCTGCAAGAGACAATAACCTTCATAGTGACATGCAAATTAATTTGACGACGATGAACCCAAGAGGAGAATTTAACCAACGATCATAGAAAAATAAATGATTTATAAGTCACGATGTCTATTTATAAATTTCGTAATAACAATATCAGGAATTACCTTGAAAACCTAAGGAAAATATTAGTAAGTACTTATATGCTATACTAAAGCATTCATTTTTGTCACATAATTAAAAAATACTTAGATATTGCCTACACAATTTAATATGAGAGATATGTTTTCAACAAATCAAAAATAATGTGTGTGTACTTATGAAATATATTCAGTATAACGTGCTATATACCTACATAGCATGTATGCTGCAAAATATTTATGTTTAAAACCTCAACATCTATATTAATTGTACAGTAGCCGTGATTAAACATATAAATAAAATTTTATTTATGAAAAATAACAATGTCAACTGGAAAAAATAAAATATTTTATATTTGTCAATGATAATATAATTTAAAAACTGATTACCATTCAAATATTTTATTATACCTATAATGTAAAATACAAAATATAAAGAGCTGATACTGGGGACGGATGCGGCCACTGTTGTACGTGGATAGTTGAGAAGATGGGATACATAAGGTAATTTAATTTATACCTGTAACCAACGATAAACCACTGCTAACAAAAAATGATTCAGAGCGAAGTTTGGTTATACTTATACATATTTTAAAAGGTTATAATTAATATTTACAATTTTCGTTAAAATTTGATTTAAAATTCTTATATATAAAAAAAATACTACACATTAGTATAATGTGTAAAAAAACTATACTCCAGACATCGGAGCAAGATTTCTTTTCGAAAAGTTGTTTACAAAAAGAAAAAGAAAACGCACATAGTATAACCAGTGCCCAAATTGGAGGAGGGAGGGGTGCAGGTGGACGGAGCTTCTCTACTAATTTTGTTTTTTGTGCAGCCTTATTATTTTATTATGTTGGAATGGGGTGGGGGGGCGGTGGATATATAACATTGAAAACATTTTTTTAAAGTTAATTTAACTCTATCGTGGTTTCGTGAAAAAAACTTATTTATTTTGATTTTATGTACGCATTTATATACATTTTTTTTTTTTCATAATAGTTTGGAGATTTACATAACAATCGTCAAAATTCCAATTTTGAATTAAATGAACTTTTGTCGGAACTCTTTTTTTTACGGCTTTTCTACTTTGATTTTCCCTATTAGAGCACTGAGTTTCAGCAAAACATAAGTTTTACGCTCCGAATCTAAAATACACATAAAAAGAACTGATACAGATGACGGGTATGCCACTGTTGTAGGTGGGAAGTCGGAAAGGTAGGATACATACAGTTATTTAATTTATATCTGTAAGCAACGATAAACCACTGCTAACAAAAAACGATTTGGAGTGAAATTTTATTATTCATGTTTTAAATGACTGTAATATTTACGATTTTCATCAAAATTTGATTTAAAACTTTTGAAAAATCCCCTATATTATATTCTATTTAATTTGGAGGATTTGGAGAGTAGCAAGGGATTTAATAGTTTTACTATGATGTGTGTTATTTTTATTTTTTTTACTGTCCTTTTCTACCAGAAATCTTGCTTCGATGTACAAAGTGTAGCACATTTTCTGTCATCAAATTTTATCCAATTGCTCCAATAGCAAAACGACAAGACAAATTTGTTGTTGTGTTTTGTTGTATAATGTATATTTTTAATGTAGTTCATTAGTAAAAAAGTCACTTTTTAATAGTGTAAGTAGTTTTCATAATAATTGAGAAAAGCCGACAAAAAACATAGAAAAAACGAGAAATGTACAAAAATAATTATTTAATTATTTTCAATTCACAATTTTCAAAATATTTTATAATATTTCATATTTCATATTATTATTATTTTTTTTTTTTCTACTATTGTCTATATTGTACTATTTTTTAAAATGTAATATTTTCTTTCTATTCACCTTGTATGTGTTTAAATAATAAAACAATTTGTTTCTTTTCAATACGTCTTGTAGGTGAATAGAAACAGAGCACTTAAAAAAACATATAAAATAATCTGTTAAAAATATAAATATTTCGATCATACATACTTAAAGTACTCTCAGAGACTGATATTTGGTGTATTAATATTGATCAACTATGTAGCCCCAAATATAACAGATTTTATAATGTTTCAAAGTTTAAAACTGTTTCTATTCACCCCATTTTACAGTATTATTGACTTATTCCAAATTTTCTCCTATCAAAACTATACTATGATCTGCAAAAAGCATGCTCCGTGGTACTACATTTGTACATCCTTTCATCTGTTTTTCCCGCTAACATCCAAGATGGGACAACCCGCTAAAGCTTTGTTTAGAACTCCTCATACTGTCTAACAGAATTTTAAACGGCTGGCAACCTGACGCAACCAAATTTGTCGTCTCTTACTAAAGATAGAAGTACTATGGGACTGTGGGAGTATTCTAATCCCATCCCACAGGGAGAATAATATTGCAAACAAGAAGGTAAATTTCTCCACTCTACAAAAACAATATTATACACCGACTGACAGTGAAGTAGGCAGGAGGATTATGTTAAAAAAAATCAATCGAGGGAGGCTATTGTTTATTTTACCTACCTGGGCCTTCTATCAGTAGGAGTTCGGAGTCCCAGGTTCTCTAAACCTGTAGCATCATATGCCGTCCTGGGGTAATAATATAGGATTATTGTATTCTATAAATATAGTATTATATAATATGAGCTATAATAAACGTAGATATTTTATACATTTGTATGTATCATATAATTATATTTATATATAGGTAAAAACTGAAAACTGAATTACCATTTTCGACAATTTAGAAACTACAAAGAAATATTATCAGTTATTTGATCTATTGTGTAAAAGTGTATGTTATAAGAGGAAATATTTACCTGGCATCGAAGACGAGTCACAGTAGTCAGCTACTTGTTTCACGAACATGTTGAATAAGTGACTCATCTAGAAAAAAAAATATAGGTACAAGTTTTTATAACAAATGTTTTTAAAATGATTTTAATAATAATAACTGAATTGAATTCGTACTTTTTATTAATACAATAGAAAAAAATACTGAAATGACAATATTTTCCATAAGTAGGTTGGTATACAACCAACCTATTTATGGAAAATTATTTTATTTTATTAATTTATTTTATTTTATTTTTATAATTAAGTACCTAGTACTTAATGGTACCAGGAGCGTATTCAGCTCATTTTCCAGGGAGGGGAGGGTGAAATTCGAACTTTAATCATACGTATAAGTTATTAGTTATAAAAATGTATGTCCATAAAAAATAGTATTACAGATTATAAATAGATCAGCAATTCAAAATTTGTTTATTCGCTTGTTTAAAACTTAAATAATTGATTTCTACCCACTTTGATAACTGTTATTAGCCATTATTTCATGTATAAGTGTATAATGAATTTCAGTATTGAGTATTAATAAAAACTGCTAACACTAACACTGAAAACTACTGCAAAATTACAGTGCCGTACTTGTACTATCACGGCTCTATAATATCATTCCCCGAAAACAGAATAAGGTAATAACACGGACCACGGTTGCAGAGTGCGGACAACAATTGTACAGATATTCACAATGTACCTAATTATTATAACCAACAGTAGGTATATATGTGTTGATGATAGCCACAATATCTCTAATCTCTTAACAAGTTATTGATAACCATATCCGTACAAAAAAATTAACTATTTTTTTAAATTTTTGGTTAATAATAATAAAATAAGTATGTACCTATACATGAAACAAATTCAACAATACCCAGGTGGGGCGATCGTCCTTATTGCCCCCCCCTTGTATACACCCCTAAATGATACGTAAAGTATTTTTAGGTATGCTTGAATTATTTAAGGGAATACCAGAATATGTAATATAATATATTATGAATTCATTATATTTATGAAGAAAAAAATAGTTATACCTGAGTAAGTTTATCATAATTTAGGTAATCATATGATTTATAAAAAGCTATAACACCCAAATTTGTTTGCGAAATATTATAATCGTGACAACTGCGTTTGCATTCAGTTTTCGTACAAAGATAATAATCTAATACCTATTCAAAATTAACTACGCTTACAGTTTTTCGTCACGTTTCAACGTGTATATATGTTATTACAAACTCGTGTCTTATGGATTTGAAAAATAACGGGTTTATTTATGGTACATTTTACGAAATGTATACGGTATTAATCTATACCGGCTTTGCTTATTTGTACAATAAACACATACATGACTGCATAGATAATATTTTATATCTACCTATATTTTAATATACAATGTATGATAAAACATTTATTTTCAAATTTGTAATAACTAGAATTCATACGAAAAACAATATTAATTAAAGAAAAATTGCATCAAGTAAAATTTCTTTAGACGTCAATATTAAATTACAAGTTAATTAATTACCATGATTTTTATATTTACCTACTCGTCAAAAAAAAAAATTAAAAAATTAAAACTTGTGATCAATTTGAAATTTCGCATGCACTTATATTTTCGATAGCAAAGTGAGTTGAAAATGGTTTTCACACTCTATGGTTATTGGGACAAATTTAAAAATATCGAAAAATGCTTCATAAAATATTTGTTTATATATGCTCGTATCCTCCAATATAAATAATCCATGGTTCATTTTCCCAAAAGGGTGGAAAAATGATTTTCTAGAAAGATTAAAAATTATCAAATAAAAACTAATTTTAAAAACCATGCTTTAATAAAACAAATTAAAAATAAATAATAGAAAATGTTAATATAAATATTTTCTCGCGTATACATCACGATAACAGCGTACTTGAATAATAGTAATGACAACATAATGTAAATATAATATACATTTAACTATTTAACTATAAGGCACTTTTGGCAAACCATGAAATAAATTTAAAAAAAAAAACCTATGAAAGAAAGTAAGTACTATACAATCACAAAAGGAGCTCTTACCACAAATTATAAAGTATAAGAAAGACACCTTTAAAACGTGAAACGAAAAGCGTTTCCTGCTTAAATGTATATATATGTTATAATTTACTATATTATCTATAATATTTATACATCTATGTCTATATAATATATTTTACTCTTATTAAATTTCGATGTTATCATGCAGATATCGATATAAAATTGATATATAATATTATTTACCTAATGGTACGTTTTAAAACACGGATTTACAAATTTTGATTTGATTTTTATGCGTTTATATTTATTTATTTATTTATTTAAATAGACTTGCACCCACGATATTCATATATATTTAAGAAATATATCAAGTTAAATAAAAAAATTTGATTTGTTAGAAGAAAAAAAAAAGTGCTAGATTAAGATTAATAGAAATATCAAGTACACAAGAGGGAATGATTAGTATTGGCAATAGATATAAGGAAGAAAATTGTTCATTGAGTCTGTAATTAGTAGAGCGAAAAGAAGGAAAAACAATTTTAATTGAACGGGTAATACGAGAAGGAAAAAAAATTAAGTTTAGAAAGTAAGAATGACCAATCAATGTCGTTGGATAGGAGATTCTGAAAAAGTGCATATTGACAGAATGTCTACTAAGCTTCATCGACCTTTGTAGATTAAGCTTACGGAGGACAGGATTATATGTGTATACATGTGAAGGGTGCTCAATTTTAAATAGAAAAGCTGTATACTTAAGCAATTTGCATTATACTTGTTCTAATTGTCTACAGATGACTGCAGTAGGGGAATCTAGAACACAGAGCCATATTCAGTTATTGGACGAACGAGGGCACAATAAAGGGCTGTAAAAAATGCCAGTCATTTGAATTCGAAAGAAATATCGTCTAAATTTCATTCCTTTACGAAATTTTTTCGTTTTTCCTAAGTTTTTTCTCGGTTTTTCCCAATTATTATGAAAACCACTTGGAAAATCAAAAAATTACTTATTTCAAGTACCACAAAAATAAATTTCCTTTCAGAAAAGATACTACACTAGAAAATCGGAGCAAGAATTCTGGTAAAAAAGCTGTTCACAGAAAAAAAAACACCATTGTAAAACCAATATATTTTTTCGATTCGCTCAAAATCTGAAAACAGTGTAGTTAGTTAATTGAAAAAAAATGAAGTACTATATAAACATAATATGTAATACATGTAAATGTACCTATTATTACTTATTAAAATGTAATATCAATAAGATAATATAATAATAAAATAATAATAATAATAATAGTATATAATAAAAACTATAGTGTGATATTATATTATAGGTATAGTCGTATATAGATATGCCTATAGCGGCTACTACCTACATAATTGTTGTACATATTATGCATAGATACTTGCAGATTTCGTACGAAAAAAAAACCACTCCGATAATATTTTAAACGCAGTATTTTTTGAAAACAAACAACAAAATAATTATAATACAATATAGATACTCGCGCTCATTGTAGTCTGGGGAAGTGGTAATGTTTTATTTGTTTATATTACGAGTATAATATTTATAAAGTGCGTCACACGCTAAACTGGATTTAAAAAAATTTAAATATAGTATATATTTCGCATAATTTTAGTTGGTGTTATTGGACGCGAATCAATGCAATTTATACGAGAAGCAAGTGACTATAAAAAATAATTTAGTTAAAAACAAAAAAAAAATAGCATACGGTATAAATTAATTAAATAATACAGTGAAGTGGTGACACCATGTACCTATACAAATTATTATGTTGTCAAAAAAAATGCAAAAATTAAGTATTTTACGATAATAGATGTTAGGCTGTCATATCTAGTAGGTACCTTTTTCGTACAATTTCAATATAAACAATTTATAATCCATTGTTTGGAACATCATTGTTCCCGAAAATGACACCATCGTCGAACGGAAATCGTGTAACGATACGATACTTCGTTTAATATGTCCGTAGATCCGGGTATATTGTCAACTAGATTTGTTTTTTATTTCTTATACAAATTTCGAATGTACGAAATATCATCATAAATACCACCAGCCACCACAAATAACTGCCACATGAATAATAATTATAAGTGTGTCATTGCAATGCAATGTAAAATTCTTCAAAAATGTCGATAGTTCAGAATAGAATTTCTGGAGAAAGTTGAATCGTTATAATATATTCTTTTAATTTATTTATGTTTTATAATATTTATAGTCCTTCGATAACGATAGTTTAATACAATAATATTACACATATACCTACTTAGCTTATAACCTTCCTAGTAGGTTCATTTTTTTTCTATGTCAGTTGTAGGTGCTTCGGAGTTTTATTATGATTCATAAAAGAAAAATGTTTTATTGATACTGAAAGTCCAATATATTAACATAAAATGTCTAGATTATTTTGAAGACTTAAACTTTAATCAAATACTTATATAATGTAGAATAACATTTAGGATTTAGGATTTACGATATAAAGTTAGTATGATAGTAGGTATATAAGATTATTTTGTAGATTTTTTAGAGTTAATAAATAATGTGCAATGCAAATTGTTTTTTTGTTTAAAATGAATTGAATAAAATTGATATTGAATAAAATGGAGTTAGAATGAATATTTTTACTAAACTAGAGGTTCAAATGTGTATATCGCATATATTATTACATCCAGGTACCTTTCATACACAATATATTAATTTATTAAATATTATTGGGTAGATAATTATTTTATAATATAAATATGATTGATCGTATAGTCCAATTATTATTATTAATCAAACATATTATACAAGTTGAAGGAAAAGTTACAAACAGGCGATAGACCAATTTTAAGAAGGTCGTGTTGATTTTTATAATAAAATATAAGGTATTTTTTCAAACAAAAATGATATAGAGAAAACATAGAAAGTTTAATCATTAGGTATATCTACATAGTCTGCATGTTAGATAAACACTAAGAAAAATGAAACCAGAAATATTTACATTTGAAGTAACTAAAACACGTTAGGTGCCTATCTAATATTATATATAATAACGTATAATAACATATGGTGCGATTTGCCAAGTCAATTTAAATATAATGTATATTTATTGCACTAAAATGTATTATTTCTTAGACTGCAGCAACTTACGCAGTCTTATTATTTATATTTTTAATGAAATAAAATATATTTCCTGTTGACCGTGATTTTCAGTAACCCCCAATATATGGTGAGTTATCTGTATACACAGAGAACAATAATATTTGTCTTCCGGCAAATCGTAATTTTTGTGTATATTTACTTTATGTCCTAGTAGCACCAAGACCCATCGACCTATAGGATATATCATATAGTGTATTAATAACATATTATCTATTATTAATATTATAATATTATTAACTTTGATATAAGTCATAGACACATCTAATAATCACATTTTTGTTGATTTTTTTATAATTTAATAGGCCTCACAACCTTCATATACATACGTCGAAGGTACCTGATATCAAATGAGGATTTGTTATAATCCATGAAAAACAAACTACTATGTGAAGAACAATTCTGAAACATTAGTTTAGGAGATCCTGGTCACACAAACCAATATAATATGTTCTGGAATAGTAAATTTTTTAACTTACGGAAATGATTTTTTATAAATATGAATTAGTAAAGAATTTGTAACAAGTAAAATAAAAAAAACCAAACGGACATACTTCACACGATGGGTGGACCACTGTTGTAGGTGAAAAGTTAAGAAGGTGGAAGAGAATTTAATATACATAATTTTAATGCTAAGATTAATCATGCTAACGAAAAACGATGCTCAGAGAAGTTTGGTTTTACATGTTTTGAAAGACCGTATTATTTAAGATTTAAAAATAATACACTTACTAAATTTTCCTGTTTTTTCCATCCATTATGAAAACCCATGGGAAAATCGAAAAAAATGACTTCTTTAAAGTACCAACCCAGTCAAATTTTCTTTAAGAAAAAGTGCTACACTTGAAAATCGAAGCAAAATGTTAGATAAAAAAGTTGTTCACAGAAAAAAAATATGAATAGTAAATAAACAGCATTATAAAATTGGTTGAAAGTAAGATACCTACAAATTATAATGCGTAGCTATATAGTATCCATCGTATATTACGAAAAACTCTCACTTGCTGGCTATATCACGATGCACGACTTTTCTGAATTGTAGTAATTCATATAAGTTTAAATATTATATAGTAATATATTTAATAATACAATGATTTTCGTAAGTCGTTTTAACGGTGCTGCGATTATTAATGTGTCTACGTACATGATTAGAAATTAGGAACAAGTGAGATGCTGAACTTTATTCGATTAAAGTCGGTATATTGATCATAATTTCAATTATTGTGTACCTACTCCAGTAAGGATTTAATAAAACTATTCGATAACCTATTTCATAAACGTTTAATAAAAAAATATTGGCACAGTTAGTGATCAATATGCGAATAATCTCAAAGTACAGTTATCAGAATGATGTCAAATGGTGAGTCAGTATATTATATCTATAATAAGCTATGGGTATTTTTCTGTATTTAAGAATTTCTTCAATTAATATAGGTACCTAAGTACTAAAAACCTATAATGTAATAACTATATGAAAATCATGATTTTTAATAAAGTACGTTAAATTAAATTACAATTTTTTTTATTTCGAATATATTATTATATTTTTTATTCCCACCAATAATAATAATACTATATTATTATTTATAATAAATTATAATACCTATTGCAAAGGTTAAAATGATTTGGTAGATACAGTACCGGGTACACAATTTATACAACGCTAGTTAAGTATATAATACTACCAAAACTAGATAAAATAGGTACGATACAATTACACACTACATTGATATACTAATTATCTATATACCTATACGTAAGTGTAATATTAGGTACCTATATAGATAATATGTATTATATTAATACTTAAATATATTATATTACACAGGTAGACAAATGTTTAATACATTATACTTGTAAAAAAAAATATGTATACATAAATCTTATTCGGTAGTATACAATAATGTCATAAGTTACCTTTTCTCCTCGACTGAGGAATTCCCACATTGGAATGGCCGAACCGGAGGTCCGGGTCACTAAGAATGCGGCCAAGGGCCATAGGAGAGCGTACGTTCTCATCGTGTTCAAATGTTTACTGTCGATCGGATAAATAGTCTAACAGTACGTCGTCATGCGCGTCTTGAAACACACTGATCGTGCCGCGGAACTGTTGCTGGCCGATCTGCTGGTCGTCGCGCCGAAACGTTTGCGCATGCGCTCACAACGACGGCGCCAATATTATAAGCGCGCGAAGTTCCGGAAAATCAGAACGGTTTTTCACACACTCGAACACATCTTAAATGATATACATATACAAACACCGCTCCGCTGCAGCCCGCACACTGCACCGAAGTCCTTGACATTTACCACGATCCACCGGAGGCATGCAGAATGCATACCTACATATATTATACCGTATTATAGGTATTTGTATGTATAATATACTACACATTATGACGTAGTGTGTACAATTATAGTGTTTACCACTTTTTGCCCGTACTAATAATAGATACTGCACGTGATCTGCCACGCCGGTCAATAAAATATATTTTATATTACTCTAACGACTGCATGCCTGAACTGATACTGCAGTATTTTTATGATCTATAAACAATAATATTATGATGGTGTACTTATACGTTATCAATCGTATTATTGTATTTATTAATCTAAATTGAAAAGAATATGTATGGGAAATATTACGAAAAGAAGGATCGAAAGATTCATTATATACTATAATATTATACAAGCACGAAATATTTTTTCGTTTGTATCGTGTTTTTCAATAGTACGTATTATAATAATAAGTATTTACTTATATATAATATTTATTATACGGTACAGATATTTTGTCCGATATATCAACACACCCAACATGGAATTTCATCAAAAATCTTTACCAACATTGTAATTCTATTTGTACACATTTTCAAACGTTAATTTTAAATCACTCTGAACACGTCAAAATTTATTTTTACTAAACGGCGATGCTAACGTATAAACTATAAACATTACGATACTTCATTATGAGATGACATGGATGAAAATTTGGTTGGCATGGACAAGAAAACTATTATTATTTTTTACTCTATTATCTAGTAATAGCAAAGCATTTCTGGGTCAGCTAGTTATAAATATAAGAGTTTCCTTTATATATTTTGTAATTGACATACATATTATTATATAATATTTTATCAACAAAGCACTTTTTCTTTTTAATTGTACATATTAACAAAAAAGGTACCTATAATGCCTATAGTTTTATGAAAGTTACATAGAGTTGTATTAAAAATCAATACAATTATTCATAAACACACTTTAATTTAACTTGGATACATAAAATTTAATATATGTATTTACATAAATATATATTTAATATTACAGAATTGTTTAAATTGATATACCTACAATTTATATTTATGTATATAGTTTATAACTTAGATATCCTTATAATCATAGATATATATTTTCAATAGGTATACAATAATAATGATTGGTACCTATATACTTATAAGAAATATTTTAATTATGTATTTTTACTATACATTTTTTCAGTGTTTGGTCCTTCAAAAATGTTTTATAAAAGTATGAGATACAAATATTAATTCCCTAGCTGTGTATATTATTGTAGTAAATAATGTATTTTTTTAATTAATAATAATGATTATAACTTTTTAAGTAGGTATTTAATCTTTTACGGAAAAATTGTCTATAACACTAACATACAAAATTAGCAACATTACATTCTTATATCATACAACAGTATTAAGATATAATGTTAATATTAATAATGCCAGTTTAATTTTAATTAATTAAAAAATTAAGAACTATTAAATTAATTTACATATCGGCTATCTTATTACTATTGAAGAACATCATTTATTTGTAAATTAGAATTAGGATTAGAATTCAATTAGAATTAGAATTCAAAAATATTTAATATATTTTTATACTTACTAATTTATTAGAAATATTTCTCAATGATACTCACGTTGTTAGGTTAATGCAATCATATTAGCTTTACATTAATATTATTGGGTAGGCATATTAGTTGTATGATACTTGTATATGGCCGAAATTTATAATAAAGTATATATTATATTATTTATACTAGTAAAATAAACTGATGCTGATCTAATGAGAAGCAAGGAAAAAAAACTAGGTTAACCTATACAGACAATGAAAATATGTTTAAATGTGTCTCTGTTTTAGGTACAACTTTAATGAATAGATTACCAAGATATTTGTAAAAACTGATCAGAAGATTTACGTAATTTTAATTTGCACCATTAATCAGAATACTCGTACATGTTTAATAAGTTTTTAATACCTTTTATGTAACTTGGGATAACTCATTGAAGAATGTGTAAAATCGCCAAACCCCTAAGTGTAAGCCTATAAGAATACTGATATAGTGTATAGATACTAGGACAATAGATGAAATTTAAACAAATTACAAATTGTAGTTTATAATATATTATATTCAAGTTATTCAACTAATATGGCACATGATATTCAATATTTGATGTATATATTTTTTTTTTAAATTTTTTTGTAACTTGACATACAAATCGTTATTTTATTTAATAAACTACAGTTGAGATCTGCGAATATATTAGTAAAAACTAAAAAGAACACGTAAATAATGGTATAAGTACAATAAATGCAAAAACAAAAGAATAATTTTACTTTTGATTAATATAATAAACATTGAACAAATTAAATCTAAAACTTGTAAATATATTTTACTCCATGTGCACTGTTTTTTTTCTGGATAAAAACATTATTAAAGAGTATCTTCACATTTTATCTTTGATACGTGTACCTTATTATTTAAATATATTTTTTTATTATAAAAAAAAAAAAAAAAAACATTGCCGTTTTACCGGTTTGCCAGTTTGTATAATTGTTTCTGTTATTTGGATTCCAAACCAAAACATTACAACTTATAATTGCGTAGTATTATAATAGGATTAAACTAATATAAACCCATGTATTTTGCTATATTAAATATGTTAATTCTATTGCAAATAATTTTACCCAATGGGTGGATGATGTTTTTCTTTAAAAATAACAAACTAAAAATCTGTATAATCTTTTACATATATGTGTGTGCAATGACATTTTCGAGTATACGTTTATATTTATACAAAAAGTAAATATAAATAATGTAATATTATATAATATTATTTAAATATTTAAAGCAAGTACCTGTTACCTATTATATAGATACTAGATACACACAGTACATGAACGATGTACCAACTACGTCTGCATTCTTCATGTCATAACAATATATGATTCTTTCAATATTTATTATTTTGGTCTTGTTTAAAAAAAAGATACACACAATACCCATACTTACTGCACTTATTAATCATTACGATATTATATTTGTATAATTGATAAATGGTAAGTATTCGAGTATAATGTAGGTACCTACATATTTTTTTCCCCGAAATTATTTTCTTTCTTTAAAAACGGGTATAGCTGTAGGTATAATATAAATATATTAGTGGATTTAATGTATGCTATATAAAAAGCGGAAAGGTGGGAGATTGCGTACCTATGGAATTCCCGTTTGTCATCACACGGCAGTAGCTCTTACAAGTTGTATTTACTGGTTTTCTTCCTAGGAGTCTTATATTGCCACTGTGTTTAATACAGACAAACCCCACCACCCCACCGTGACTACCGCTTCTCACCGCTATATAGCAGCATGATCAACAACAGCTACTCTTTTTTTTGTGACTATGCTGACTAAAATACACTATAACTGCACAACGGCGAGTCGTTATTTCTATAAATAACCACATTTGCATACGTTTTTGTTGCACACATTTCTCTCTCTCTATATAGGAGGTAGTCTTTCCATCGGCGCCGGTCATGCCTGCTGTTTAATACATGCATTCCGTACACACGTATAAGGTGCGCTAGCGACAATTCTGCAGATGTTACTTGAAACTATAACTATACAACTCATTTCATAGGATTCCATCAGTAGAAAGTGATATCCAAATAAGATGGCCGTGATTTTTTGGAAATAATAATAAGATAATTTAAATTCAGGGCCGTATTACGGTCACAATCTGCGAGTGCGGGGGCTATATACTATTGGTGAACTCTTTTTTACCCAGAACAATTTTTTTTTTAGATTCAGACTTATTAATTTTTATTCAATACATATTTTTCAAATGAGGTCGGAAGTACTTGTAATTAAAAAGTACAACAACAATAAAATAATGAATTTTTGAACATTACCATTAAATTTTTCAAATAAAGTTCCATCGGACAAAACAAATATGTTATAGTCGTACTTATGGCTTTCATATATATGTATAATAATTATTACCTATTTATTACTATTAAACATAGCCTGCAGTCACATAGGGTAGTCAAGAATAGAAATGGGATGGCGATGATGAATGTGATAAATATGATTTTGAAACCAGAGTACCAGAGAGTCGTTACTAATTATAATTATATATTTTAACTGTAGGTACCTACTTTGAACACCGTGGAGTCAATATTATTCTTAGTAAAATCGGTTTTTTGACGTTTATTTTGTTTTTGTATACATAATATGGTTGATTGCAGTCGAGGATTGTAATAATAACTATACACCATGTAGTCGACGGAAAGTAGCAACCCTATTGTAGTATTATTTTTGTATTATTGTGGTAAAATGAAGAAAGAATGCGGATCCGTCGAGACTGGCGGCTTCACGCGTAGAGGTCGGGACAACCGCCGCGCCGAGTCCGTCGTATATATTATTATATACCTACACATTACAGACAAACACGCGCGCGCGCGCACATACAAACACACATACACACGGACATAACTTATAACCATGAACAACAGTGTTCGCACGTTAAGTTTGGTTTTATTTTTTCTTACATGCAGTATATTATGAGTATGTGTATAGTACATGTGTGTGTAGACGACTGACGGGATTTCCCGACCGAAATCCGCTCGTTAGTATTAACATGCATTCAGTATAGTTGCATAAAATACATCTGACAAGAAAATATTATTTTGAAATAACCAACCGCACAAGTTATATATATGTATTTTTTTTTCAGAGAATTGACACTTTAATAATTTTAATTGGTTGAGGAGAATGAGATTAAATATGCAAGTCAATATTATCAAGCTTAAAATAAGTATGATTCCTTGATAAATAATTATTATTTTTCAAGCCCACAAGAATAA